AGAGAGGGTAACCGCCACCAAAGGTGCGGGAGGCCCCGGTGCTGCTGCTGCAGCGGCTTTAGCAGAGGCAGGTGCTGCTGAATCCCTGCCATCCCCTTCCACCTGTACAGCAGCACGCACCTGCCATCCCTGCCAGCCATGATAGGTTGATGGGGACTGGGGTGGGAATGCAGCGAGGGAACTGCCGCGTGTAATGAGTCTGCTTTTGAGTCGACTCAAAAACGGGGACTGGGGTGGGAATGCAGTGAGGTAACGTCAGGCAGATGCAAGAAATGTGACGTTGCCTCGCTCGCTGCATTCCCACCCCAGTCTGCTTTTGAGTCCACTCAAAAGCAGATGCAAGAAATGTGACGTTGCCTCGCTCGCTGCATTCCCACCCCAGTCTGCTTTTGAGTCGACTCAAAAGCAGATGCAAGAAATGTGACGTTGCCTCACTCGCTGCGTTCCCACCCCAGTCCCTGTCAACCTATCATGGCAAGAAACGTTTGTTACAGCGAAGCCAAAACAGCCTTCCAGCCTTCCCCAAAGAAACCCCTGCTACTTCCCCACCTCCTATCTCCTGCCCGGACATAGCCGCCTGAGCATTACTGCTCAGCACTGCAGCAGGCAAGGCGCCTTGAAAGCAAGTCCCTGCTACGCACATGCACTCACCTCCTACCTCCTGTAGAGACATAGCCGCCTGAGCTTTAGTGTTTGGTAGGTACTGAAGCAAGCACGAAGAAACCGCTGCTGCAAGGGCTGCGATGGTGATTGTGACGGACAGAACACACTCGTTTCTCCCCTTCTCACCTCCGATCTCCTGCAGGAACGTAGTCCGCAGCGCTTACTGCTTGGCGATGCAGCAGGCACGGCGTCTCAAAAGCAAATCCCTGCTACGCACTCACCTCCTATCTCCTGCAGAGGCATAGCCGCCTGAGCGTTAGTGCTTGGTACTGAAGCAAGCACGAAGAAACCGCTGCTGCAAGAGGCATATCCCAGCTACGCACTCACCTCCTATCTCCTGCAGAGGCATAGCCGCCTGAGATTTACTGCTCGGTACTGCAGCAGGCACGAGCAGGAAGGAGAGGGTGACCGCCACCAGGATCGCAGCGCCAGAAACAGCTGCTGCCAGGGCTGTGATTGTCCAGAAGTGTTCCTTTATCGGGGCCAGCAGCACTTGTGCGCTCCTGGGAAGTTGATAGGAGCGAGTCGAGGGCAACCAGGGAGAAAACAGGTAAGAGTGGAAAGGAAAGCAAGGTCAGCACATTCGTGTTCCTGGTCTTTTGAGAGTTCTCGAGAACAGGTAAGAGTAGATGGGAAGGCAAGATCGGCACATTCGGGTTCCGTTCCTGCCAGGGTACTGTGCTCTGGCAGGAATTCGAATGGCATGAGAGTAGTTTTGAGGCGCCTCAAAACTGCCAGGGTACTGTGCTCTGGCAGGAATCCGAATGGCATGAGACTCTCTGCTCTGAGTCGAATCACCAAGTCACCAAGTCACCAAGTCACCAAGTCACCAAGTCACCAAGTCACCAAGTCACCAAGTCACCAAGTCACCAAGTCACCAAGTCACCAAGTCACCAAGTCACCAAGTCACCAAGTCACCAAGTCACCAAGTCACCAAGTCACCAAGTCACCAAGTCACCAAGTCACCAAGTCACCAAGTTACCAAGTCACCGTTACTGCTTGATTCCTCACCAGTACCCGAACGAACTGACCATTACTGCTTGATTCCTTACCTTGCCAACACACCCTACATAAGCTGCACGCCCTACGTTAGCTGCACGCCCTACATAAGCTGCACGCCCTACCTCGGTAGCAGGCCCTGTGCGAATCGGAGCATCCCCCCAGCGTCATAGCCGCTCCTTGGCTCGCTAGCGCCGCCTCCAACCCCTCTTGTTGACTGACGATTCACGACCATTGACGGGGCGCCTTTGCTGACTGACGGAGCGCCATTACTGACTGACCGACTCCCTTCGTTAAGAGGAAGAAGAACCTCGCTGTTTTCGCTGGATCCAACGAACGGACGAGCTTCGCCGTTCCTATCTCCGTTGGTTCTGTCTCCGTCGCTTCTGCTCTCCGTCCGTCCGACCTCGGGATCATCGCCGCTTGCACTCGGAACTTCTAAAATCCCTTCGTCACTGTCACTTCGAGGGTGTGACAACAGCGCGCGAGGATCCTTCGTATGAGTCAAAAGCGTCTTTTGCGGAGATTCCGGCGGAGTATCAAACCGCTGCTCTTCCGTGAACCCTCCGGCTGGGCCATACTCAGAAGCCTCCGCGATTCCCGGCGTGTTTGCCGCTGAAATGCCATCCGATCCTGGTCGGCTGGCTGACTCGGCATCTCTGCGAGGTTCGGAACTTGAGCTCATAGCGCTTTCGACAAGTGTTTTGAGGCAGGAAATCCTCTCGAGCTCCTCGCGAAATCCTCGCGAACTCCTCGCGGAACTCCTCGTGAACTCCTCGAAAATAGATTGAGAGCGATCCTAGGCCCTTAAGCTGGTTGACTGCACAAGACTTAGCGGCGTTGGGACGTTATTCAATGGACCACGGCTCGGACTGCTCACTTGAGATGGCCCGCATCCATCGCTGGACATGAGAATGTCTGCCTTCCGCTTCTGGAAGGAAAATGCGGAAGGACGATACGATACGAGTCAACTCTAAACGACTACTAACAGAAAGTCTAACGGCTTATCAGAGAGAGTCTGGTCTGGAGTGCCAATCTGGAGAATATGACTGGCAATAGTGGCTGCTTTATCTGGTTCCTACAGCGGGTTCGGTATAGGCGCACACACGCATCCAGAAGAACATGGGGAGGCATCCCCTACCACAAAGTCTAAAATTCACTTTATTTACTGCCTACAACAGCGAGAATAGGGATTATCTTACAACCTTTGGTAACCGTCGTTGATTCTGCTAGAAAACGTTTTGTTCCATATTACCTCGTGACTATTCATGCTAGGTCTAGAAATAGCAATATCAATACCAAAACACTTCAGTATGCACGCTTATGAGGAATCATACAGGATCACTTTATCCGCGTCAATGAGTGGCAATCGCTGACTCCGAGCCGCCAGCACCCACTTGAACCCAGTTCCCGCCAGCACGAATTTCGACGCACCGCAACGGCTCCTCTTGAATTCATCGGCTTCCAAACCAAACCACTCGCCGCCACCCAAGCCAAGCCAGCCGTGGCCCCACCGAGCCGAATCCCAAGGTTCGATCGATGACACGACATGCCTTGCCCTCACGCCCGCCGCTTCCGCTGGTTATTTCTTGACGCTTTTCGGCGGTTTACGCGGTAATTGATCCGCTGCTGCTGCCGAAGCAACTGGGTGCCCGCAAACGGGAGTCTACTTGAGCTCCAATAGAAATCCACAGGAGGTGCTCTTCATTCCAAAAAGGCTATTCACTGATTCAGTCTTATCGTTCTCATCTTGTTCCAGATTTACTGAGCATCTCCTCCAGAGTTACTAGAACAAGACTGGTAGTTTCTGCCTAGAACCGTGCCAAGGCTTGATCGTTCCATCTCCTAACGATGGCCAGGAGTCACACTTACGCTGTTATATCCCTAGCCTTAGCCGCTCTGTGCTTGGTGGCTTTGGCTTCTGCTGCCGGCACACCGACAACTCCGGCGCCTGCGACGAAGACAACGCCTGCTCCTGCCGGCAAGACGCCTGCTCCTGCCGGCAAAACTCCAGCGAGGAAGCCGCGAAAGCACACGCCATCGAAGATCAACCAGGGCGTGTTCAACAAGTGGGATGGCGGCTACATCGCCACGATCTCTCCCTCCGAAGGCGGTCTGGCGCAAGGCGCGTGCGGTTACGGCACCACGGTGAACACTCCAATCGGATACGCTACTAGCGCGGTTTCTTCTGTTCTGTACGAAGACGGCCAGACGTGCGGCGCGTGCGTGGCCATCCAGTGCGTGAAGAACAAGAAATGCAACGGGAAATTGACCACCGTTACAGTCACGAACCACTGCAAGGGGAACCGCACCCACGGCGGCCTGTGCATGCTCCCGAAGAAATCCATCATGCTGCCACCCACCGTCTACGATCAGATCGTCACCTCCCGCGACGCTGGCGACATCAGCGTGCGAGCGATGCGCGTTCCGTGCCCTCGCAAAGGCGGGATTCAAGTGAAGGTGCTTATGGGGAACGACTGGTTTATCAACCTGCTCCCGCTGAACGTCGCGGGACCGGGAACTATTTCCAAGGCAGAAGCGCAGTTGATAGGCAGCGGAGGATTCAAGCCCCTTACCAGGAACTTCGGAACCACGTGGTCGCTGAACGGGATTAAGGTTGGCGGGAAAGCGCTGACGCTGCGCCTGACGTCCAACTTCAACGGGAAGGTGGTTGTGTTGAAGAATGTGATTCCCGCTTCGTGGCAGGTCAACCAGACGTACGGCGGCGAAGATAACTTCCCTGACAGCTAAGCCATCCCAGTGCTTATAAGCACTTAGTAGCATTTAGTATAGTTCGTGGTAGCATTGTGAAGAACGGTAGTGCTTATTAGCTCTCGGCCTACTCACATTCTAGCTGATCATGCCTTTCAGTCCGCCAGAGTGGGTATTCTCGTAACGGCTGTCCAAACTCATATGTTGGTGAATATAGCACCTCAAATGGTTTGACATTTGCATTCCTGCCAGCTGCCTGGCATACCGTACCTTCACTACAGCAAGCATGGTTCGTTGTACCATCCATGAAAGTAGATGAAACGCTCAAAGTGAAGTGAACCCCACTGGGTGGAAAGGGTTCGGAGGTGGCAGGAGTGCAAGAAATCTCGCTTCAGTGGGCTGGGGGCTGAGGTGAGGAGGAAGAGGTGAAAGCTCAGTACCCACTGCTGAGCGTACTCCAAGCCTTGAGAAGATGTCAGGAGGTTGAAGCCTGAATGGAAAAACTTAGGGAGTGCCCATTACCAGCTCTCTCCTGTTTCATCCCCTCCCCCTCCCTCTCCCCCCCCTGCTCCTGCACTTTCTATGACAAGGCATACATACACGCCAGATAAAAGTAAATGAATACTGCATAGCAGTATACACGAGCAAGCCATAAATCGTGGAACGCATTACACCACACCACACATTGTGTAACACACTGCATATTGCACTAGAGCTTGGACATGCGGGAGGAGCGAGGAATGAGGCCAACTCGAAGGCCAGGGTAGTCGATAATTAAATCAAACTTAGACAGTAAGTTACGGCAGATTAATCCGCTAGTGTACTGCGATAACTCCAAGGCTCCTTGTTCCGCTGAGGAGAAAAGCGCCGCCACGTTCTTGAGCTGCTGGCCTGCTATTGTCACGATCGCCAGGTTGCCCTGCCGTACCTGCATGGGAACAAGGGGCAGGAGAACAGGGGCAGGAGAACAGGGGCAGGAGGGCGAGAGCAGTGGGAGGAGGGAAGGAGTTGATTTTGCAGGGTGTTTTTGAGAATTCTCAAAAACACCCGGAGAAAAGCGCCGCCACATTCTTGAGCTGCTGGCCGGCTATTGTCACGGTTTCCGGATTGCCCTGCCGCACCTGCATGGGAACAGGGGCAGGAGAACAGGGGCAGGAGAACAGGGGCTAAAAGGTGAGAGCATGGGCCTACAGCATCAGAGGATGGTGACGGATGAATGCACGGTACAGTTACCCAGTTACCACCCTGCGATCGTCCCTTCCCTGCTCCCTTTCTCGTCAACACACAGAGCCACACATACGCACACACCCACTCGCCGTCATCTGCTGCTCGTCCCCGTGTAATAAGTCGATTTTGAATCGACTAAAAAATCGACTTCTTACACACGGATCACACACACATGCACACTCAGGCAAGCAGACCTAGACACATGCACACACAGGCAAGCAGACCTACACACATGCACACACAGGCAAGCAGACCTACACACATGCACACACAGGCAAGCAGACCTACACACATGCACACACAGGCAAGCAGACCTACACACATGCACTTACCGTCATCTGCTGCCCGTCCCCCCCTCCCCCTGCGCCGCCCATCCCTTTCAGCCAGCTGTCCCCTCCCTTCGCCCTGGTTCCCAGCTGGCAGCGCTGCACGGCGCGAGAGTTGAAGATGATGTCCACGCCGGCTGCGCCCGTGTCTAAGAGGAAGAGCCCCTGCTGCTGAGGCGAGTCCCAGTGCTCCTGGAAGGTGATTGTTATGTGGGGGACGCTGCCCAGCATGCGAATGGGCTGCATTAGTAGGGAGGGGGATGGGTGGGGAGGCAGAGAACAAACCCTGTTATCGATCATATGACATAGACCTCGTGTCCTCGTGTACACACGGAGGAAGAGACCTCGTGTCCAGGAGGAAGAGCCCCTGCTGCCTAGGCGAGTCCCAGTGCTCCTGGAAGGTGATTGAGATATGCGGCACGCTGCCCAGCATTCGGATTGGCTGCATGGGAGGAGGAGGGGGGGAGAAGGAGGTGGGGGGTTGTGGGGAGGGGAAACGGGCAGGGGCATATGCCACAGTCTCCGTGTGTACAAGGAAGAGCCCCTGCTGCTGGGGCGAGTCCCAGTGCTCCTGGCAGCTGATTGAGATATGGGGACGCTGCCCAGCATGCGAATGGTCTGCAGGGGGGGAGGGGAAAGGGGGGAAGGGTTGAACGGGTAGTAGGCAGAGGATTGACACGAGCCTACAGTCACCACAGTTATTCAGCACCAAGAAAACCTACACGAGCAGCCACCTACCTCCCAGTAGCCATCCACCTCCCAGCAGCCACCGACCTCCCACCAGCCACCTACCTCCCAGTATATCTTTGCCCCTAGATCCGGCACGGAAGGGTGACCTCCAGGGCTCCAACCATTGCAGCAGAAACCACCGCCAACCCGACCCCTGTTTTAGAGGCAGCAGGCGTGGTCTTGCTGGCTTACCTACCCTAGTAGCCACCTACCTCCCAGTATATCTTTGCTCCGAGATCAGGCACAGAGGGGTGGCCTCCAACCAGCGCAGCGGAAACCACCGCCACTCCGCCCCCCGTCCTGCCCCCCGCCCCTCCTCCTCTCCCCCGTCTTTGCGCCATCGCAACACCAGGTGGCACGGGCCCATCTGCAGGTCTTTCCGGGCCGCTTTCTCCTCTACTTGGTTTCCCTGTGCGACTTTCCGTGCTGCCTGCTGCGGTACTGCTTGCACGAGGCTCTGGTGCTGAGGGTTCCGTCTCTTGTGGCTTGTACAGCCTGAGGGTTCCCTTCCTGCCTCGCGCCTGGATGGATGTAGCATCGGGTTCAGGGTTTAGGGTTCAGGGTTTAGGGTTTAGAGTTTAGGGTTTAGGGACGAGTGGGGAAAAACAACCGAGGCCTGTGGTTGCACTGCCTGCTCCAGATGAGTGGCTGGTTTCCTGCAGCAAGGACAGCCTGCAGACTCTCTGTTCCTGCCCTGTGCCTGAGTGGATAAGGTGACTTTTGAGTCGACTCAAAAGTCAACTCTCTGTTCTTGCCCTGTGCCTGAGTGGATAAGGTGACTTTTGAGTCGACTCAAAAGTCAACTCTCTGTTCTTGCCCTGTGTGTGAGTGGATAAGGTGACTTTTGAGTCGACTCAAAAGTCAACTCTCTGTTCTTGCCCTGTGTGTGAGTGGATAAGGTGACTTTTGAGTCGACTCAAAAGTCAACTCTCTGTTCTTGCCCTGTGTGTGAGTGGATAAGGTGACTTTTGAGTCGACTCAAAAGTCAACTCTCTGTTCTTGCCCTGTGTGTGAGTGGATAAGGTGACTTTTGAGTCGACTCAAAAGTCAACTCTCTGTTCTTGCCCTGTGTGTGAGTGGATAAGGTGACTTTTTGAGTCGACTCAAAAGTCAACTCTCTGTTCTTGCCCTGTGTGTGAGTGGATAAGGTGACTTTTTGAGTCGACTCAAAAGTCAACTCTCTGTTCTTGCCCTGTGTGTGAGTGGATAAGGTGACTTTTGAGTCGACTCAAAAGTCAACTCTCTGTTCTTGCCCTGTGTGTGAGTGGATAAGGTGACTTTTGAGTCGACTCAAAAGTCAACTCTCTGTTCTTGCCCTGTGTGTGAGTGGATAAGGTGACTTTTGAGTCGACTCAAAAGTCAACTCTCTGTTCTTGCCCTGTGTGTGAGTGGATAAGGTGACTTTTGAGTCGACTCAAAAGTCAACTCTCTGTTCTTGCCCTGTGTGTGAGTGGATAAGGTGACTTTTTGAGTCGACTCAAAAGTCAACTCTCTGTTCTTGCCCTGTGTGTGAGTGGATAAGGTGACTTTTTGAGTCGACTCAAAAGTCAACTCTCTGTTCTTGCCCTGTGTGTGAGTGGATAAGGTGACTTTTGAGTCGACTCAAAAGTCAACTCTCTGTTCTTGCCCTGTGTGTGAGTGGATAAGGTGACTTTTGAGTCGACTCAAAAGTCAACTCTCTGTTCTTGCCCTGTGTGTGAGTGGATAAGGTGACTTTTGAGTCGACTCAAAAGTCAACTCTCTGTTCTTGCCCTGTGTGTGAGTGGATAAGGTGACTTTTTGAGTCGACTCAAAAGTCAACTCTCTGTTCTTGCCCTGTGTGTGAGTGGATAAGGTGACTTTTGAGTCGACTCAAAAGTCAACTCTCTGTTCTTGCCCTGTGTGTGAGTGGATAAGGTGACTTTTGAGTCGACTCAAAAGTCAACTCTCTGTTCTTGCCCTGTGTGTGAGTGGATAAGGTGACTTTTGAGTCGACTCAAAAGTCAACTCTCTGTTCTTGCCCTGTGTGTGAGTGGATAAGGTGACTTTTGAGTCGACTCAAAAGTCAACTCTCTGTTCTTGCCCTGTGTGTGAGTGGATAAGGTGACTTTTGAGTCGACTCAAAAGTCAACTCTCTGTTCTTGCCCTGTGTGTGAGTGGATAAGGTGACTTTTGAGTCGACTCAAAAGTCAACTCTCTGTTCTTGCCCTGTGTGTGAGTGGATAAGGTGACTTTTGAGTCGACTCAAAAGTCAACTCTCTGTTCTTGCCCTGTGTGTGAGTGGATAAGGTGACTTTTGAGTCGACTCAAAAGTCAACTCTCTGTTCTTGCCCTGTGTGTGAGTGGATAAGGTGACTTTTGAGTCGACTCAAAAGTCAACTCTCTGTTCTTGCCCTGTGCCTGAGTGGATACAGCAAACGTGGGGGGAGGGAGTGGGGGAGAAACCAGCATAGCCTGTGTGATTGTGCTGCATTCTTCAGATGAGTGGCTGGTTTCTTGCGGCACGGAACGGGGGGAGGAATGTTATACGCCTATCCCTGTACCCCTGTACCCCTGTTCACATGAGTACAAAGGACCGCTTGGGAGGGTTGGAGGGAGGGTAGGTGGGAGGGAGGAGAAAGGAGGAGGGAGGACCCACACGAAGGAGGTGATGCGATCTAACCCTTGTGCCTCACACATTTTTTATTCCCCCAAGTCTGTTTTGCTAGAATCTAGCCCTGGCAACCGCCCTCCTGCTGGCAGCTTACCTGAACATGCACGACGGCATGCCGAAACACGTCGTAGCCGCATATCCCCACCACAGGCTTCACTCCTTGCACCAACGCTGCTCCCCCCACCTGTGAGAGAGAGTGAGGGGAGTGAGCAGTGATGTGAGAGTGGAGGCATCGGGGCAAAGCCTAAGAGTGAAAACCTCATGTCAACAAGGAGGGCGTTGAGACGAGATATGGAGGGGTCCAAGCTGAACGGAGCCTGCACATCGGAACGCACACTCCGCTGGGCTGTGCACTGTCACCGTGTGCACTGAGTGTCTGCGACCACAGTGTGCACACAGCCTACAACCACTTCCCACACCAACCAAGGAACTTACATCGACAAATAATGCATTGGCAATGGAAAGCGGCCCCAGCTGAACGGAGCCTGCACATCGGAACGCACACTCCGCTGGGCCTTGCACTGTCACTGTGCGCACACAATCACCAACCGTTACTCACACCGATACACACGCAAGCACTACACCAACCAAGGAACCTTACATCGACGAATAGAGCGTTGGCGATGTGGAGAGGCCCAAGTTGAACCGAGTCCGCCCGTCGAAACGCACACTCTGCAGGCCCGTGGACTGTCACCGTGTGCACACACCCGAAGCTGGCCAGGCCTAGGCTGTCAGCCACTGCGGGTTCAATTGTAAAGCAGCTCGCTCCAGAGTCCAGAATGAAATACCTGGAAGAGGTGGGGGGGTTGGGGAGGGGGAACGCCAGGGAGTGGGGGTTAAGGGAGAGAGGGTTGTAAGCCCATGGCAGCAGGCGATTTTTGAGTTTTGAGGTGCCTCAAAACTAGAATTCTATCACAGGGTTGCTTTTGAGGCGCCTCAAAACTAGACTTCTATCACAGGGTTACTTTTGAGGTGCCTCAAAAGTAGACTTCTATCACAGGGTTACTTTTGAGGTGCCTCAAAACTAGACTTCTATCACAGGGTTGTAAGCCCATGGCAGCAGGAGATTTTTTAGTCGACTCAAAAATCACCTCCAGAATGAAATACCTGGAAGAGGTGGGGGGTGGGGGAGGGGGGACGCCGGGGAGTGGGGGTTAAGGGAGAGAGGGCTGTAAGCCCATGGCAGCAGGCCCGAGCACTGTCCACCGTGTGCACGCACGCAAAGCCGGCCAGACCTAGGTTATCAGCCACTACGGGCTCAATGCACTGTCACCGTGTGCACGCACGCGAAGCTGGCCAGCTCTAGATTGACAGGAACAAAAAAAAGCTACATCCTGGCCGTCGATCCGATCCCTCACCCGACATCCTGGCCATTGATGAGGGGCCGCACCAGGAGGTGCCCGGTGTTCGACTGGTATAGGTCCATCTCTGCTGCTGCCCTCTCATCAAAGGGGCCTAGATCTTGACCGTTCAGACAAAACTCACCCCACATCCTGGCCGTTGATGAGGGGTCGCACCAATAGGTGTCCGCTGTTGGACTGGTAAAGATCCACCTCTGCTGCTGCACTCTCATCAAAGGAAGCTTCTGGGCAGGAGCTCAACGGGCTGGGCACCGTGCGAGTGGCTGGCATGTGATAGGAGAAAGCAAAGGGCATGCGATACGAGTCCTCCGTGCGAGCCGTTGACTCCTCCGAGGGACCATCAGCAGCACCATCAGCACAAACAAAACCACCCGCAGCAGCAGCAGTAACACCAGGAGCAGCAATACCCTCCCTCTCACGCAGGACGATATGGGCCTGGCCGGGCGGCAACACAGAGGTCCGGGCAGCCGAAAACGTTTGCTGCGCGCCTGCTGAGGTTTCCCGGTGCACTGTAGCGGGCAGCAGGAACTCGCAGTCGGGCTGGGAGGGTGGGTGAGGAAAGAAGAAACAGAGGCAGAAGGGGGCAATTGAGAGGTCAGCACGAGGGTATGAGGGGTCAGTGGGAGTATTACTGGCACATGAGTTCTCGATGGCACACACAATGCTGCTGCCATGCTGCTATATTGCCACAGGCTTAACGTTACAGCAATGCTGCTACAGCCGTACCACTCCGGGCATGCATCGCTGAAAGGTGAATTTTTCTAGCCACTCAGATACAGCCAGCCAGCCAGCCATGCACAGTATGCCATGCCAGTCGCCCCTCCCCGATGCAACATCCTGATGCTACAACCCTGCCGCTGCTGGCGTACCGCTACAGGCGCCCATAGGCTGAAAGTGAAGGTCTCAAGAGCACCGTACGCCTTCACCACTGCCACACGAGGCAACCAATCAGAGCGGTGCACGGCCACGTACATGGTCACCTGGATGGGGGGAGGAGCAGGGACGAAATGGCATGACAGAAGATGAGCTGCTGTGTAACCGAAACTTTTGGAAAAACATTCTAATAGCCGGTAAGGATTAACAGTAATGATTGACAGTCAAGATTGGCTGTCAAGATTGGCAGTCAAGATTGGCAGTCAAGATTGGCAGTCAAGATTGGCAGTCAAGATTGGCAGTCAAGATTGGCAGTCAAGATTGGCAGTCAAGATTGGCAGTCAAGATTGACAGTCAAGAATTGACCGTCAAGATTGACAGTAAAAAGTGACACTTAAGATTGACAGTCAAGCAAGATTGACAGTCAAGATTGGCAGTAAACATCGACAGTCAAGATGGACAATAAACGTTGACAGCCAAGATTGACAGGAGCGCAAGATTGACATTCAAGATTGACAGGAACGATTGGCAGTCAAGATTCGCAGTCAAGATTGACAGTCAAGATTGACAGTCAAGATAGGCAGTCAAGATTGGCAGTCAAGATTGACAGTCAAGATTGGCATCAAGATTGGCAGTCAAGATTGGCAGTCAAGATTGGCAGTCAAGATTGACAGTCAAGATTGACAGTCAAGATTGACAGTCAAGATTGGCAGTCAAGTCAAGATTGGCAGTGAAGATTGGCAGTCAAGATTGGCAGTCAAGATTGACAGTCAAGACTGGCAGTCAAGATTGGCAGTCAAGATTGACAATCAAGACTGGCAGTCAAGATTAGCAGTCAAGATTGGCAGTCAAGATTGGCAGTCAAGATTGGCAAATGAGATTGGCAGTCGAGATTGACAGTCAAAATTGGCAGTCAAGGTTGACAGTCAAGGTAGGCAGTCAAAATTGGCAGTCAAGATTGACAGTCATGTTTTGCAGTAAAGATTGACAGCCAAGATTGGCAGTCAAGATTGACAGTCAAGTTTGGCAGTCAAGATTGACAGTCAAGATTGGCATCAAGATTGACAGTCAAGTTTGGCAGTCAAGATTGACACAAGCATGCATACCAACACAAGCATGCATACCCACAAAAGCATGCATACCCACACAAGCATGCATACCCACACAAGCATGCATACCCACACAAGCATGCATACCCACCACAATCAATGCATGCCCACGACCCACCTCCCGACCAGTCAAGTTCATCGCCAGGATCACCCTATCCTGTGCTGCCACGTGAGCATCTATCTCCATCCTCATGCCATTCGGTATCACACACGAGCCCTCCCTCTCCGCGCCCATCACCTTATCCCCCTCCTCCTCCCCTTCCCCTTTGCGTTGCCCCTCCCTTCCCTCCTCCCCTGCCCCCTCCCCGTCGCCCACTATTCTTATATCGAGCGCAGAGCTGGCGACAGGCGGCAGCAGCCAGAGGGACGATCGGAGCCACACGGAGAGCAGATACACCTCGTGATCGTCCAGATCCAGTGCAGATACTCTGCCGGCCGTATCGATATCCCACACCGTGTTGCAGACTGGGTTGCAATCCTTGTCACCATCTGCGTTCCAGGATCCGGCATCAGATATGCTAGATTTGCTATCAGATTCGCTGGTCTCTGATTGGCCGGCGAATCCCGAGACACTCCAGATGTGCCGCCCGACAAAGGACTCCACAAATCGGCCGCCAGCTGGCGACACGAGGAGCTGCCACGTGCCCTCCATGCCCATCAGGGACTGCACACCTGGCGGCACGGGATTGGTTGGTTGACGAAGGGGACTGAGGAGATGGTAGTAGACGCACGAGGGGGGCATATGATGGGGCACTGGGCATTTGAAAGTTGGGGAAGAAGATGGGAGGAAGGCATGAGGCGGACGTGTGGGTTTAGTTTTGAGGCGCCTCAAAACTAGTGGGGAAGAAGATGGGAGGGAGGCGTGAAGCGGATGTGTGGGTTTGGCGTGATGGTGATTTCGTTTTTGAGTCGACTCGAAACGAAACTACCATCACACGAAGATGGGAGGAAGGCATCAGGCGGATGTGAGGTTTCAGGGTTTTGGGTTTTGGGGTTTGGGGTACCACCTGGATGGCTTAGACGGTGGGGACACCTGCGGGTAGCTCTCTAGGGTAGACAAGCACATAACCTGTCACTGTGGAATGAATGCTACCTGTTACATGAAATGTTACCACATCACACCTGTTACATGCACGTGCATGTCTGCAGCCAGACACTCTATTCGCACAGCGCTCCTCATCCTCTCCAATACCTCCTCCACTCCCACACTCTCTCTCCCCCCTCCACTCTCTCCTCCTCCTTTACTCTCTCCCTCAACCACACCCTTCGCCCCTGCTGCTCCATCCCTCCCCTGCTCTTGCTCCTGCTCCTGCTTTTGCTGCGTCAGCATCTCGCTTGCAATCATTGGCTTGTCAAGATTTGATCCGTCCCCAGCCAATGAGACCGCTGCTGCTGCTGCCACGGTGCCTTTTCTCCCATTCACCCAACCTGCTGGCTTCCCTGCCGAGCCTGCCCTGCCCCATGCCGAGCCTCTCCCCGATCCTGCCACCGAGCCTGCCTCTCCCAGGCCCAACCCCCAACCCTCCGTTATAGTCACAGTCAGAGCAACCGGAACCGGAACTCTTTTTCTTCTGCCCGGAGATGCTAATGGGCGGCTGCCCGCGCGGAAAACGACTACAGGGCGTGGGTGGGGGGCTGAAGCGGCGGAGCTTCGAGCGCACGCGGGGGAGGTCCGCGCGGGGAATCGGGGGAATCCGGCGGAAGTGGCGCAAGAGGAGAGAAGGACGAGGTTAGGGCTTCCGCCATCGCCTCCGCGGCTGCAGCTGGCACGTATTGATGGGCCGACGTGGCACGGGTTGACTGGCTGCTGCACTGCCCACTGGACCCGGGCCGCGAGGTCCATCGGACCCGAAGCTTCGAGGAACGAACGCGGTGATTCGCGGAAGCTTCGGGTGTGACGACTAACGACGCAGATAGTACCTGAAAGGTGTGGATTTTACAGGCAGTGGCCGACTGCGAAGGGGTGGCGCGGGGAAAGCGATGAGAAGGCAGTGACTGTGATGGCGTGGGGGTAATGGCAGTGTGGTGTGGAGCGACGTTGATGGCTGGTGGTCAGCATCCACGATTCAGAATCCGAAATCGCCGCCAAGGTGGACAGGCCTTACCAGCCTTGGCTTGGTGCGGTGGGGGAGTGCGGCAGCAGGTGCTAGGGCGGAAAGCGACTGGGCTCAGCTGGTTTGGTTCCCCTTATCCGCGGAGACGGGGACAGGTAGCGGGGACTGGCGGGACGGCGGGGTTGGGGAGAGGCTCGCGAATTTTCGCGACGAGACGAGAAGATCGAGTTAGTCATGCGAAAAGCTAGAGAGTTTTGCGACTATTCGCGCGGAAAGTATTGACCTGTTATGGTAACGCTTCGTGACTCGCAAAACAATTCGCTCATCTTTCGCGCACCTCAACCCTCGAACTCGCAACAAGCATCTTCGCACAAATTAGCGCGTGCGCTATGTAGGGCAGCAAATTACAAACAATTTCTTATTTCTAAGGCGTGGATCCTAACCTAAAATTCCTCTCAATACTTATGACAGAAGTACTCACTGCACACTATCCTTCACTCTTTTCACCGCGACAATCGCCCTCTTTCGCGGAATACTCCTCCCCACATTGTCAAGTTACGTCTAACCATGGACTCACTTATAGCGGAAGTCGAATCTCTCGCCCCTCGCTTCGCGAATGGCGATGTCGGCTCCTTAGACCCACTCGCCGAAGCGCTCTCGAATCTCCTCGCCCGATCGCGCGACCGCGATTGGCTTACGGAAGAAACCTTTTCTTCCACGGGCAGTTCTCCGGGCAGAAGCAACGGCAGCGCTGGAGTCGCGGGCAGCGGAATTGCTGTCACGCGATTGGTCGGCGTCCTGCCCGAGCTTTCCCAGCACTGCCCGGAGCTCCGCGGCCTCCTGCACCCCGCAGATGTCGCCGATGCTGACGTGGCGCAACCTTCCACTCCCGCAACTGGCGCCGCATCTGGCGCCACGAGTGGCGCCGCAAATGATGGTCCCGAGAGGCAATCTGCGGGTGCTCCCAGCAGTAGTAGCATCTGGGCGGTACATGCGCTTCGGCCGCTGCTGCAGGCGCTGCGTGTGGTTCGGAACCTGCTGGCAGGCTCGGCAGCCAATCAGGACGCGTTCCTGAGGTGCGGCGCCGTGGACATAGTGGCTACTATCGCGGACAGATTAATTACGAGCCGCGTCCTGCAGGCAGGGGCGGGAACGGGCGCAAGCCAGGCGCAGAAAACGGGGGAAGCTAGTAGCGGGGATGATGGGGGAGAGGCAAGGGGAGGGGGGAGAATGGGGGGGGAAGCTAAAGGGGGGGGGAATGTGATTAAGGGTGATGTGACTAAGGTGAAGGGGATGGGAAGTGTATCCTCGTTATCAGATGCTTTGGCCTCGTTAATGGCTGAAGTGGGGGGTACAGCAGCCGAGAGAAGCACGGATTTAGAGGGGACCAGGGCCGCATCAGCAGCAGCCACAGCCACGTCAGCAGTGGCTGGAGCACCAGGTGCTGACGTGGCTTCAGCAGCAGCAGCAGCAGCAGCAGCAGGGAGCCTAAGCAGCAACCGGCACTTCAATTCTATCAGCCGAAGCACACATCCCTCCCTTGCTCTCCCCCTCCCCCACCCCCCACACTCCAACCTCCCCCCTCTCCCTCTACCTTCCCCCATCGCCCCCTCCCCCTCCCCCCACTCCCCTTCCCCTCTATCCGCCTTCCCTCTCTCCGCCTCCCCCGCCCCCTCCCCCGCCCCCTTTCCCCCCACCCTGCCTTTCCCCCGCTCCGTCCCCCTCCCCCCCAACCACCTAGACACGCTCAACGCGGTGCTGCAGCTTCTGGGAAACTTCTGCGGCGGGGGCAGGCGGCAGCAGCTGGCGGTGTGGGACAGGTGCTTTCCTGGAACCTTCGCCCGCCTGGCTGCTGTAGAGGGGGCAGCAGGTGGGGCGGCAGGGGGGGCGGCGGGGGGGGCGGTGGGGGTGCGGTCGGCACTGTGCATGGTACTGTTCACGTGCGTGCGGACCAATCAGAAAGCAGCGGAAGATCTGGGGGGGTCAGGGGAGGGAGTGGGTGTGCTAGGGGGGATTTTGCGAGGGGAAAGGGGAAAGTGGAGGGGGAGGGGGGGAGCAGGGGACGGGGAAAAGAAGGAGGAGGGTGGGGAGGAGTTGGGAGAGTGGGAGGAGTGGGAGGAGAGGGAGGAGGAATGGACTTGGCTCGCTCCCAATCCGCATGATCACGGTATGTCTCTGGTTCACTTCGTTTCAGCTTCGTTTCAGCTTCATTACAAATTCCCACCCTATGTGCCCAGGACTCTGAGGTTTGGCTCAAGTGTGTTCCTGGCACACCGCTGCGCACCGCTGCACACACTGCAAGAGGAGTCTATTTTTGAGGCGCCTCAAAAATAGACTCCTCACGCCGGTGCACACACTGCAATGTGTGGGTCAGCATGGGGGCAATAGCTCCGCCAAACTCGCTCCCCATGGGTTCAAACATGTCTGAAATCTCTCTCCCCCCTTCCCCCTTCCCCCTTCCCCTTCCCCCTCCCCCCTCCAACCCTCCAACCCCCACCACTTCCCCCCCCACCCACCCACCCACCCACCCCCCCCTTCTCTCTGCAGCTTTCCCCGCAACATTTGTCGATCCATGGCTCAGTCTCCTAATTGTCCCCCACATCTCCCCTCCCCCACATCTCCCCTCCCCCCCTCTTCTCCTCTTCCCCCCCTCTTCTCCTCTTCCCCCCCTCTCCTCCCCATCCTCCTCCCTCCCCCCTCCCCTCTGCAGCGTCCCCCACCACATCTGTCGATCCATGGCTCACTGTCTTAGTTTCCCCCCACATCTCCCCTCCCCCACCTTCGCCTCCCCCCCCTTCTCCTCCTCCCTCCCTCCCTCCTCCCCACCCCCTCTGCAGCGTCCCCCGCCACATCTGTCGATCCATGGCTCAGTGTCCTGGTTGAGCTCTTAGGGTTCAATCACAGACACTTTATCCCCCCCACCTCCTCCCCTCCGCACCACACCCCCCCCTTCTCTCGGCAGCCTCCCCCGCCACATCTGTCGATCCATGGCTCAGTCTCCTGGTTGAGAGACTGTGCCTTCGAGGAAGCTTCTTCAAACCGCTTTTTGACAGGTTGGGGGGGGTGGGCGGAATGGGGGTTGGTGGTGGGGGAACGGGGAGGGAGTGGAGGGGGGGGAGGGAGTGAGGGGGCGATTCTGCTGGGAGCAAGCAGTGCTGCTGTGGGGGGTGTGGGGGGCGCTGGCAGCAGTGGCAGAGGCACAGGGGGTGCAGGTGGGGGTGGGGAAGCTAGATGGCTCTGGGGGGGGAGGGGAGAGGAGATGGTGGAGCTAAGGGGACAGGACCAGGGGCAAGAACGGGGGCAGGAGGAGGGAACCGGGCACGGGATGGGGCAGGGAGAATCCTTTCCACCGATCAGTCCGGGCAGTTTGAAATTCCTGCTGCCTGTTTGCAAGAGCGCCGCACACGTGGTTGCACGGCTGCAGGCTCAAGGTCTGCTGCTGGGTCCTGGTAACCAGGTTACAACTAGTCAGCGGAAGATGACACCTGAAAGGGAGGCTGCACCTGGTGGGGAGGTGGCAACTGGAAGGGAGGTGGTACCTGGTAAGCAGGTGCTATCTGAGCCAGCAGCATCTACAGCAGCACGGCACATTCTCCGCTTCTCCCTGCAGTGCCTTCGCATCCTTGCAGCCCTGGACCCCGTACCAGCCACCGAACCTGAACCACCAGGCTCGACCGTCCCAGGCTCGGCAGTCCCAGGCTCGGCAAACACGGACCTGTTAGCAGCAGTTGGAGGTTCGGAGCTGATTCCGTTCCTCCTGGACCTGCTGCATGAGCTGGGACCCCCTGTTGTCACACCACCGACTGCACCAGCAGCAGAAGCATCACCAAGAGCAGCAGGTTTGAGCAGAGAGCAAGTGACAGGACCAGCAGCTGTAAGACCAGCAGTGATGGCCGCTCTCTACCCGTGCTGTAACCCGTACCCTGGTTACCGCAGGGATGTGGTTGCAGTGATTGCCAATGCGTGCCACAGACGCAAGGCAAACCAGGATGCTGTCAGGCTCTACTCTGCTCCTCTCAGCATTCCCTCATCCGCTGCTGCTGTTGATTCTCCTGCCACCGATCGCACTGCGACCACCACTCCCGCCACCACAGACAGCACCAACAACAGCAGCACCACCACCACTAGCGCAACCACCAGCACCCAAACAACCCCCACCCCCCCAACCCGCCCAGCAGCAGCATCATGAGCAGCGGTCTCTTTCTTATCCTCCAGCAGTGTGTGGCAGGCGACAGCCGGCTCGGGGACGACCTCCTCAGAGAGTGGGGCCTGTGGGCTGTGCGGAACCTTCTAGAAGCCAACCCCGAGAACGCTGCTGACGTGGCGGCGCTGGAGGTGAGAGGTGGGGCGCAGACAGATGGGTTGAGGGAGATGGGGCTGGCTGTGGAGGTGGATGGGCGGACAGGGCGGCCCAAGCTTAGGAATTTAGGGGCAGATGAGAGATGACGGGGAAAAGGGGTGCGCTTTTCTATGATTGGAGGTGAGAGGCGGGGCGCAGATGGAGGGGTTGAGGGAGGTGGGGATGGGTGTGGAGGTGGATGGGCGGACAGGACAGGGCGACCGAGGTTGAGGAATATGGGGGGGGCAGATGAGTTGAGAGGTGAGGGATCGCCATGTCATGTCAAACGCAGTGGTGTCATCATGCGATGTTGTGCCAATAGATGCTTGTATTGCATTGCGTTGCCTTGGCTGGAGGAGAGGTGAAGGGAGCTGATCTGAGGAGATTCCTCTGGAGAAGCCAGAGCTTGATAGATATGCTTTACGGAGGTGTTCAGCTTGTTGTACCGGTACCTTAGCTGTAGAGCCGGTTGGGGGAGAAACACCAGTGCTGCTTGGCATCCTGCTGGAGTGCACTCAGGTGTTCTAGAACGTTTGATCATAATGTGCACCCTCGGGAATGTACCGTTATATGTACATTTTGCACCAGGTCTCAATAATAAGCAATAGGAATGTAATACACACACCAGAAAATAATAGACATGCTATTTATAAGCACCTCTTTATTTGTAACGAAACACCAAAATGAGGGCAGCACGCCCTAATCCAGCGCGCTTGCAGGCTCAGCCGCTCCGCCCTCCAAGGTAATTAGTCTCCCCCAACTGCACACCACCCGGTCTGTAGAGAACCCCCTCCCTCCCATTGGCCCCCACATGCTTCCCATCCACAGCATCCCCCCTCCCATGCACCATGGCATGAACACCGGCATCCACCATGCACCATGCACCATGCCACATGCACCAACCACCATGCACCATGCCCCATCAGCACCAGACGCAAATCCCAGCCACCCTCTCCCATAGACCTATGCACAACATAATCAACCCCCAAACAGCGCCAAGCCAACACACTCAAGCAAGCACACCCCGAGACAAACCAGCCGGTGCACACGTGCTCCGAGGGCAATCATCCTTCCCTCTCCGGCAATCCTCTGCACCCCCACACCCTCATCCACATGCCTGAAATCACCATCCGCACTCCCCCGCACTCCCATCAACCCCTCAGCACACAGCAGCGCTCCTCCCAGCAGCCATATCCACGAGCCACTGCGCCGCCACATAGATGCTGCTATCCGCCTTCCCATCATCGCCCCCCTCTCCGCCCCTCTTCCCCTCGAGCATCCCCACGCTCCCCATCCACCCTCCCTTTGCGCCTCCCACTTTCGCTTCTGCATTTCCATGCGAGAATGGCTCACTCGAACGTAGGTGCACTGGTGACGTGGCAGGCGACGTGGCGGGGCTGGATTGGACCATGGGCGGGAGTTGTGGCATTGAGAACGGGGTGTAGGTGTCGCAGGTTGCGACATCCACCAGCAGGGGCCAAGCAAAAGGTAAAGCAGGCGTCTTCTCTGGACTGTTGTTGCTGCTGCTGCTGTTGACTGCTGCCGCTGCCACTGCCGCCGCTGCTGCCACAGCTGCCATTGCTGCCCCTGCTGCCGCTGCTGCCCCCTCTGCTGCTGCTTCCACCCCATTGGAGCTACCAGCGCCTGTGCTTTTGACCCAGCTGCTGCTGCTGCTGCTGCACCGCGAGAGAGGGCCCATCTGGGGACGGCAGGAGCTCGACAGGGCAACTGCTACTTCGACCGGCGCTTTGATAGCTTCGACTGCTACAGTGGTGCTACTGCCGGGCGTGTAACGAGGCGGCTGGAAACGGGTACAGCTGGAGAGAGCCACTGCCACCTCCACAGCGGTGCTGTTCCTGGAACCTTCGTTCTCTGAATGGGAGGGAGGTTGAAGGGATTGAGGGGGGTAGGGGATGGCGGAAAACGGTGAGAAAACGATAAAACTCGTTCCACCTAATACGTGAAAGCAATTCCTGGAAGCCATATCTCTGAGTCAAACTGGCACATATGATTTCAATTTGTTTGCCATAAGTCGCGCTGGCTGATCTCGTTCCGTCTGCCCGCGATCCCATTCTGTCTGCCCGCGATCTCATTATTCATCGCCCCGTAGTCTCCCTCGTACCCAAACCCCCACCACAAACTGCACTAAACACAAAGCACAAGGCACTCACCAGCAGCAGGGGGGCCGTCCGCAGTTCGTGGCTGCGAGGGGAACGGGGGTTCTGCTCGGAGCTTCCAGCAGTACGCGGGGTCGTACTCCACCCGCACCGTCGTCACCGCGCTCCTGCTCCTGCTGCCGCCGCTTCTGCCGCTGACGGTATTGCGCGCCCTCGGCCTCCGCCCCGACACCGTTCGACCACCAGCGGTAGCACCAGCCGCAGCACCAGCAGTTGAAGCAGCAGCAGCCACCTTCTTGCCTCTCGGGTGTAGGTCCTCCGAACATAGCAGCGACCCTGCACGACACACGACGACGCCCGTTAAGCGCATTGTTCAACTGGACCGTCCCGGGGAAATAACGGCAAGCTGAACCCCCGCAAAACCCGCGAGATCTGAAAAATCCCAGAGACTGCAAGGCAGAACTGCGCCCTGCGTTTCCTCTGAAAAATCCCAGCGGCAAACCCGAAATGAAACGAGCGGCGCTGCGCCAAACGCGCTAAACCCCAGATCTCGTGCCTGACTCGACGTTGGAGTCTATTTTTGAGGCGCCTCAAAAATAGACTCCTCACGCGCGGCGCTGCGCCAAACGCGCGAAAACCCAGATCTCGTACCTGACTCGACGTTGCGTGCCTCGCGTGCCTCCTCCATAACGAGCTCCGCTGACGGCTCCGACTTCACCAGGATCGGAAGCTCCGCCCCCGAGTCACTCCGAACCTCTGCTTCGGTCCGAACCGCCTCGCGAGCTCCGACATCGACTCCTTCCGAGCCTGCATAGCGGGAGAATGCAAAAGCATGACGGAAGGTTTAGAAACAGAAACCCTTGGGCGATACATCGACGACGCCACGTGGCAGGCGATGCACACACATCGAAAACAGTGCACTGTTGAAACCCTTAACGAGGATCTCCGACGTTCGACTCGCACCGTTTCTGGGGGAGGCGTTGCTCCACGTCAGCGGTCGAGACCGCATTCGCCGCTTCTTCCGCACAGTAAACACCAACATGCCCGGGCACTCGCCACCGCCATCGCCGCCGCAGTCACCGCCGCCATTGCAGCCACCGTCGCCTGACCTCTTCACGCCGCCACTGCTCCAGTTCACCTCGTCGCTGCCCGAATCGGAACCGGTTATACCGAGTACGCTCCCCGAGTTGGACGACGCCACGTGGCACCTTCTAGAAGGGCGGTCCCATTCGCAGGCCGCGGGATCTGAGCGCGATCCGCTCTTGTACCCGTTAGTGCATTCCCTTGTATCGCAGCACGCGCACGAGGACTCTTCGGACCGGGAGATCCTCCCAGATCCCTGCGAGCACGGCGACGCCCATGGCTCGCTGCTGCTGCCTACACGCCTGCGGCTTTCGGCTTCGACTAGCAACTCTGGAAGCATGGTGTCAGCAGGATTACTCTTATCGGATCTGATCCTATCGGATCTGATTCTATCCGGCGAGGGAGCTGTCGTATCGCTGTCGTAACTTATGGATTGCTCCGCCGCCGCCTCCTCCTCCTCCTCCTCGTCCTCCTCCGCTTCGCCACCCTCTTCCTGCCACGAGGATTGGTAGAGAGGGTGCGGATCTATGGCGGGGACGACAGCCAGCATCGACTCGAGGGAGGAACACTCGATCTCGGCTTTGGTGTCCTCGTCGATCGAGCCGTTGGTGACGGCTCTGGCTCCGTGAAGCTTGTACGACAGCCTGAGCGGGAGAAGAGAAGAGGAAGAGACGAAGTGGAGAAGAGAAGAGAAGAGGGGAAGGGAAGGAGAGGGGAAGAGAAGAAGAGAAGAGAAGAGGGGAAGAAACGTGTTAGCTACTGAACAGTCGAGGAGAACAACGCAAGCGTGGCAGCAAATGTGCGATAATGCTAGCGCAGAGTCGGCCACTCGCCCTATGATCACATATCCAATAACAACGTTAGTCGAGGGAACCCTGCATTCGAAGTGTTGCCAAGCAGAGCCCTGCAGCAAATGATAGAAGATTAAGTGGCTAATGGGACGCGAATCGAACTTAACGAGCAGTAGTGCCAGGAGCCTTCACGCACCTGTCGTACACTCGTGCCGCTTCCTGCTGGCAGGAGAACATGCCGAAGCGGCAGCGAGTCCCGCGAATCTGAATGCGAGCAAGCCAGCCGTCCTTATAAACCTCCACACCCCTCAGCTTCACCGGATGTCGTAACATCATTGAACTCATCTTCCCGCGTAAATAGCTGAATCTAAATGCCTAAATGTCTAAGCTTCGCGCCTAGAAACAGAATGAGGGCTCGCGTGAATGGGAGAGAAGGCTAGAGACATTACAGCTCTACTCACGGCTCCTGGGAAGTACCCAGTTTCTCGGCGAACTTGAAGAGAAAGGAGATAAGGTGGAGTCAAGGAAGTGGAATTGGTTTGGAAGAATGAGGAATTTGAGGTGAGAAATTTGCTTTGAGCGAAATGCAAGGCGGGAAAATCTGAGGAAATGGGAGGGAGTAAGCAAGTGCGGCAGGCAGAGGCCATTGGCGAGGGTTTGCGATCACGCCAGCGAAGAGAGAGGCCAGCCTACCATAGGGGGAGAGCCCAAAACCACCACAGAATCACTAAACCCACGTGCCGATCGACGGTTCAGGATGCGCCATCCGGAACACGTGGCAGTGAAATTTGCGCGCAGCTTCTTGAAGACGCAAGAGACCCCTTGAGGCTGTCACAAGGCAAGGATTTTCTCCCCGTGAGAGGCTGAGGTTTGTTTGTCAGGCGGTGTGGAGGGCACGATACTGGCGGCTGCGGTGGCGGTGCTGCGATTTTATTGGTGCGAGTTGCCAGAACCTTGGAAACAGCGTGGCCTGGCAGCTTTGGTGGAATTTCGGACGGTCAGGTGTCGGGGGGGGAAGGGGGGGGGGGGGGGGGGGGGTCCTTCGGTGGGATGTGCTGGCGATTTGAAATGAATGCACTGTACAATGAGGACAATCGTTTGGGAGCAAATCAAAGCGGCCTTTCGGCTGTATTCAGCGTCAGCCTGGCCAACTGAGGCGACCAGCCCGTGAGCACAGAATCCACCCACAAATTTCCGGGTCTGAGTTACACTGCGGCCTACACTTTCGGCTCTGAGAGCATGTCCAGAGTGCAGTTGGTCATCCGCTGACATCCGAGGACAGATTGATTCCTAGCCGTCATCCGTCCGTACGGGAATCGACTGACGAGACTCGTTCTGTCATCCCCTATCATCCGCCCCCACCCGCCACCAAAACACCCCGAACACGCCCCAGCCAAATTGGAGGATTACAACTCTATTCAACCATTTGGCTTTGGAATGATAATTTCACTATAGCTCGCCATCCTTACGGAAATGAGATTTCAAAGATTCCAAACTTTGGCGGGACCAAAACTTGGAGTTGCGTGGCTTGATTGGATTGTCCCGCTGCACCCGCCTGACGTACAGTAAGCAGGATCGATATCTTGCGTCGTTATCGCAGCGATCCCCACTAACTCCGACCAGCCCCGGAAGCAGGCCTAAGTTGTTTTAGAAGAATTACCCGGATGTTGTTATTTTCCAGAGTTTCTACTGGGTCCAATCCAGATTTTCTACGAGTGATTTACACAGGGGTTCCGGAAGATGTACAAGTGTGCGTGGGACGGGTTCCGGAAGAATCAGAATGCCCCTGTGGCCCAACCCGGAGGAATTTCCCCCATACCCCCCCTTCCCCATCTCCCCCACACCACACCACACCCCGCTCTTCCCCTTGCACTGTTGCCTCACTTAGCCCCTTCCAACCAAGGCAATCTCTCAAACGGGATGAGCTGCCCCCCTCTTCCCCTTGTGCTGTCATCTCTCTCTTCCCTCGCTTGTTGCTACCACTCCAATTTTTCGCTAAACGGGATGAACTGACTGTCTTAGCATGTCATTCGTGCAAATTCACACAGCAGAGGGGAGAAACTCTGTCAAAGCAACTTGATCCTTGATTCCGGATTAAACAGAATTCACCAGTCCCCCAACTTGGACGAAAAAGAGTGGGGATGGGGGGGGAACCTGGGAGAAACAGACCCTCCCAAACCTAGCATAGGTCCTGCCCGAAAGTGTCTCTTTGGATTTTTTGGGAGCAAGAAGGTTCATGAGAAATTTGCAAGATTTGTCTGCTTTCGAGCCATTTGTTTTTGCGACGCCAGGTTCGTTTCACCAAAACACTCGAATCACCATGGATAAACCCGATACACCTAGCCTGCGGTAATTTCTCACCCAGTATCTTCACAGGGGGTGCCGCTGAGAGGGTATTTACCCCCCGAAAGCAGCTCCTGAAGACCAGATTTGGATACCCCTGAAAAACTAATTGAGCTTGGATTTCTATGCGAAACGTTTACTGATCGATGTAATGTTTCTCGAGTCAGTAAACCTGACGTTAGCTTAGGCAGTGCTAAAACATTTTTCCCACGTGGAGTCTGCCGCGCTTAGGCCGTAGGAACAAGGGAGACGCACTCAGAAATGGTCAGGGTGGAAACAAACATTTCCGCCCAATTTCAGGGTGTAAAATCACCGCGGGCTAGGTGTATTATATGGTTGAGTTGTCATATGCGTGGGAACACCAAACCACCAGCCCACGTTCATGAAACTCAAGTTGGTGGGCGGGTGTGTGAATTGTCGGGCACACCAAAACGCCCATTCATGCCCTACAATTTTCGTGCCCTTGAGCACAAGTTGCCAAATCCATGTTGTGCACTGGCTTTTTACGATTTGCTTCACCCCTTCGACATGATCTGTACCTTTTCCCTGGTACAGTACATCTGCCCGGGGTATAGAACTGTGTACTGTACATCTGCTCTGCACACCTTGCTTCTCATGAATTTATGCCAGATAAGTTTTTCGTGTACAGAACAACAGTGATGTAACCTAGTGATAGTCCTGGCACAACGTTTGCGTACCTTTTTTATCGCCAGCTTTTTCCAGTTGCGAGAACGAAGGCCTCTGCAAAGCAAGGCCCTGAATGCAGTCTCTCAATCGCGTACGTCGAGTGTTACGCTATGTCACCCACTCACAGCACTCTCTAAGTTCTAGTAGATGACGGCAGAGACTCAAATGGATAAGGCAGCAACCAAACCGGAGCCTAAATTTTCCCCTGCACCAAAGCTGCGTGGAATGGCTACTAGAGCCGTTGAGAAAGGCGGCGCCGGCGAGGAAACGGAAGGGGATGAGGGAGGCCGTTCTGATGGTTGTGATGATGAAGGAGAGGACGGGTCGCTGGACATGGAGCCGATGGATTTGGACGAGTGTCTTCGCAATCTGCCGGTGGTTGCGGCGGAAGAGGTGGTTCAGCGCCGGCTCAACCGCCTTAGAAAGTCAGTTTTTCACTTTTTTCGCGAAACCCTAATTTCACTAATATCCAGAGTCACGGTGCAAAATTCATTATTTTCCGTGGCTGCTGCAGACGTGGCTTGATTCACGTGCTTTGAGCTGAAGAGGATCCGAATCACTGGTCAAACCCGATTTTTTTATTTTTATTAGATGACTCCAATTCCAATGTTGCATCCTCGGGCGTCAACACGAGGCTGTGAGATCAGGTCCCGCAAGGCTGTTTTCTCACGGTTCCAAATTCCACTCTTCCTCTCCCCCCTCCCCCCCCCCATCCTCCGCCTCCTCCTCCTGCTCTCTTCCCCTCCCCCTCCCCCTCTCCCTTCCTCCTCCCCCCTCCCCCTGCTCTCTTTGCCTCCCCATCGTTATCCTCCTTCCCCAATCCGCACCCCCTTGACCATGCAGGCTCATGGCGGTGTACCGCGGGCAGTACTGGGCGCTGCTGGAGGAGCTGCGCGCCAAGCGTTAATACTTCTTAAGATCCCTATCAAGACTCCAGTCACTCATCTCCCTTCCCCCCCTCCCCACCCCCCCACCCCCCTGTTCCCCCAGGCTCATGGCGGTGTACCGCGGGCAGTACTGGGCGCTGCTGGAGGAGCTGCGCGCCAAGTACCGCCGCTTTTACATGCGCACGGGGCAGAGCGGATGGAAACAGTCCGCGCCTGCAGCAGGCGCGCATCCTTCCGCCATGGGGGTGACAGGGGGAGCGGGAGAAGGCGGCGAGTTCCACTTTCCGCCTGCTTCCCGGCCCCATGCGCTTCTTCCGCCTCCGCCGCCCCCCCTTGCGCCCCCTTCCCCGAGAGACATGGGTTTCAGGGCAGCTGCTGGGCTGGGCGCAGAAGAGGGTGGCGGAGCAGGGGGGGAGGGCGGAACAGCAAGGGGAAGCGGAGCAGCGGGGGAAGGCGGAGCAGCACGGGGAAGCGGGGCAGTGGCGGGGGGAATGGGCCTGGGGGGAGCACCAAGGCCGGAGCCGCACGCGCCTGACAAACCAGCGAATGCCACGTTGCACTGCGCTGCCCCTGGTCCCTGTCTGGCGAAGCCCCTGGCTCTGTCCGTCTTCTGTTTGAATCACATTCTTTTAGAGCCACGCCAGAGGCTGTACAAGCCCTGCACCTACATCGTCTGCTGGTGAGGCTGTTTCTGAGGCGCCTAAAGAATCTGTTTGAATCACATTCTTTTAGAGCCGCGCCAGAGGCTGCACAAACCCTGCACTGCACATACATCGTCTGCTGGTGAGATTAAATATGAGCCATCCAACCCCAAAACCCTAGCTTTTGACACAGACTTTTCTTCTGGTTTGCCGGTGGGCACAGCACAAACCCTAGCTTTTGACCCGTAGCCGTTGGCTTCCTCATGGTCTATCCCTCTGCGTCTAACCCTTTTCGGCGTGTTCTTTCCCTTCCCAATGACTCCATATCCCCCAAACCTACTGTACTTACACCATCCTCCCCGACCACCCCCCTTCTCCTATCCCCGCATCCCCCTGCTTACTGTTTCCCCGCCCCAGGGGCTCCAATAACGGGGCGCACGTGCCCTGCGGACGCCCCGCTTTCTCCGCCTTCTCCCCCGTCCTCTGCGCCCACCACCGCCACCTCGTCCCGCCAACTCAGCAGCCGTTCCCGCCACGTCACCGGGGGTACCTGGAGCCCGTTATAGTGGAGGCGGGCGCAGGGGGAGGCGCGGGGGGGGAGGATGGGGGGAAAGGCGGAAGGAGGAAGGGGAGGAAGCGGAGGAAGAAGGGAAAGGGGATTCCAGTAGGGGGAGCAGTGGGGGCGGATGGTGGGGACCTTGGGGGAGGGAAGAAGCAGGTGGGAGTGCTTAGTCTGAGTGTGCTTATAACGGAGATGGTGCGGACGATTCAGACACAAAGGCGAATGATGGAGGAAGAAGAGGAGAGGGAGGCGGAAAGGGGGGTGGAGGCAGAGAGGAGGCGAGAGGAGGGGAGAAGAGAGGAGAGAGAGGAGAGAGAGGAGAGAGAGGAAAGAGAGGAAAACGGGGAGGTGCAGAGCGGTGGAGAACGGGAGGTGGGGGAAGGAAGTGGGGAGAACAGAGCAGGAGAGGAGAGAGGAGCTGCAGGGAAGAACGGGGCGGATGTGGCAGATCCGGCAAAGGAGGGATTTGAGTTTGATGACGGTATGGACTGGATGCTGGGGGACATGGGGGGGGCGGGAGGGATAGGAGGCGGGGGAATGACAGGAGCAGGGTTGGTTGCGACGGCATATGATGGGCCTGGTGCTTCGGCCCACCCCCCTGTCGTCCTCTTCCTCCCCCATAGCAGCAGCAGCAGCAGCAGGCGCAGCCCCATGTACCGCTCAGCTGCTGCTGCTACTGCTGCTGTTACTTATGGTGCAGGGGGCACATGGCCTTCGCCTGGCGGGGACAGAACGGACCCCCTTTTTGCTGCTGGGGGGAGCAACCTCCCCTTACCTGCTGCTGGTAGTGCTCCTAACAGGCCATCTATGTCAGTGGTTGCTGGTGATGGTGCGGCTACAGCCGCTGTTCCGATGGGGGCTACAGGTTCTGCTACAGCTGCTGTGCGTGGCGGTACAGGTGGGGGGGAAGCATTGGCCGAGGCCAGGCCGGCTGGAGCAGGAGGAGCATGGGAGGTAGGAGGAGTAGGGGAAGCAGCAACAGCAGCAGGAGCAGCAGCAGAGGCGGCAGCAGGTGGGGGGGGAGGTTGGGAGGGGCAGAACGTGGGACCTGGCAGGAGCAAAGGGGGAGAAGTTGGATTAAAGAGAAAGCGAGAGGACAGTGCAGGCACTGTTAACCCGTCTGCTGCTGCTGCTGCTGCTACTGCTGCTGCTGCAGCATCCCAACTTGGAATGAGCATGGGATTAGAGAGGGAGGTCGGAATGGGGCTGGCTAGGGACAGGGGTATGAGTATGGGTATGGATGTGAGTATGGATGTGAGTATGGATGTGAGTATGGATATGGGCATGGGCATGGGCGTGGGTATGGGCATGGGAGTGCGGAAGGGCCTTGCAGGAACTGAACAGTCTATGCAATACCAGCCTCACATGCTATATTTTGAGTCGACTCAAAATACGCCTCACATGCTGGATAGAAGCGCGAGTGCTTCACACGGACAAGGTTCTCTTGTAGGCTCGATGGCTGGGGGGCTGCAGAGAACATCAGGAGGTAGGGCAGCGGTCCCTGGGGCAGGAATAGCCGGGGAAGCAGCAGCCGGGGCAGCAGTAGTTGGGGCTGCAGGAGGATCAAGTGTGCGGCTGCACCTTACAGCCACGGGAGCAGCATCACCCACAGGAGCAGCAACAGGGACATCAGCAGCAACAGCCGCACGACTTCCCTCTGCTGCTGCAGCTCCAGTGCCCGGTTCTAGGAACGCGGGGACGGCACAGGGAGCTTTTGTTCCGTCTGCCCGCCCAGAAATATCGGGCAGCACGGAAATGTCGCACGATGAGACAGCTGCAGCCGGGCCATCAGTGGCAGACAGCCTGGTTAACCATGACATGCATGTGACCCATTCCGGTGGTATGCATGTGAGTCGTGCTACCGATATGCATGTTACATACTCACGAGATATGCATGTGACTCCGGTGCATGGCCATGGTCCAGGCATGTACCCACATGTGGGGGCAACAGCTGCTGCTGCTGCCACTCGTGTCCATAGCCATGTTGCTGCTGCCACTCGTGTCCATAGCCATGTTGCTGCTGCCACTCGTGTCGATGGCCATGTTGCTGCTGCCGCTCGTGTCGATGGCCGTGCTGGTGCAGGAACAGCCACTGCTGGGGGTAGGGTTTCACAAGCGAAACCTCTGGCTTCAGAAAGAGCATTTGCCCATTCCCCCCCTTCTCATCCTCTCTATCCCTCTCCTCCTGCTCCTCCTCCTGTCCATCATCGCCCTTCTCCTCCTCCTCCTCACCACACCTCTCCTCCTCCTCCTCCTCCTCCTCCGTCTCTTCCCACTGCCGCTGCACATACTCAAGCTCCCTCACCTCTTCATACTACTCCTCACCCCACCCCTGCTCTCCCACCAACGTCCTTCCCCCCACATCCCCCCACCGCGCCCCACTCGCCCACAATGGACCTATCCGTATGCCAGACCCATTCGGTCACTATGGGGGAGTCTCTTGGCCCGGAGGAGAGCTTCGAAGGGGAGGGCTTTGCTGAGTATTTCTGGCATCCAGGCGGGTTCATCGACGGCTCAGATGCAGTCGCTGCTGGCTTCTGGTTACAACCTGATGCCGCTGCTGATGCTCCTGCTGCTCCTCATGCTGCTGCTGTGGCTGCTGCTCCTGCTGCTCCTCCTGCTGCTCCTCTGGGTCCCCTTTTGGACCCCTCTCCCCCTTCTCCAAGTCCTCCTCATTCCATCCCTACTCCCGGACCTCGTGCCGAACCTCCAGGGCCTCGTTCGGACCCTGTTCCGGACCTGCCTTTCGACCCTGCTCTGGTTCCCTGCTCTGACCCCTCTGACCCCTCTGACCCCCCTCTGGAGCATCGATCCGGCCGTCCCCCAACGCCCCTCTTGGATGCGCCAGCCTCTGCTTGTTCAGAGCCCCCTACAAAAGATTCAGTCCCTTTGGTTCCATCCGCCCCTTCTGCGGTGGCTGCTGCTGCTGCCTCTGCTGCTGCTGCCTCTGCTGCTCCTGCCTCTGCTGCTCCTGCCCCTCCTGCTGCTCCTGCCGCTCCTGCCGCTCCTGCTGCTCCTTCTGCTCCTGCTGATCCTGCTCCTGCTCCTGCTCCTGCCTCTTGTACAGTTGCTGCGTCATCATTTTCTGCAGCAGCTGCTAGAGGGGCAGCAGCAACAATTGGCAAAGCAACCTCACAGGGAGCTACTCTTTCTCCTGTGGTTTTTCCAAATGCAAGTGCTGCTGGCGTTGGTGCCGCCAGTGGAAGTAAAACGAGAGCGGTTTCAACAGCAGCTGCAGCCGCAAATGCAGCTTTGCGGAAGGAAAGCAGCGAACGGAACGCAGGGGCCAGTGCTGGTGTAGGTGCAGCTGGTGTAGGTGTAACCGGTGGAACTCTACCCAAGACAAGTGCTGTAGCTGCTACAGCTGCTGTGGGAGCAAGAGTTCAAGCAGCAGCACCGATAGCAGCAGCATTGACAGCAGCAGCATCAACAGCAACAGCATTGACAGCAGCAGCAGCAGCATCAGCGTCAGAGGCTGTGGCGGCGGCAGTAGCTCCAGCAGTTGTTGCGGCTGCGGCTACTGCTGCTGCCTCTCCGGATGCAACCGCTGCTGCTGTTGGTATTACTGCGACTGCTCTTGATACTGCTGCCTCTGCTGCTGCCTCCGCTGCTCTTGCTGCTGCTTCTGCTGCTGCTTCTGCTGCTGCTTCTGCTGCTGCCTCTGCTGCCTCTATTCCTGCCACTGCCTCTGTCACTCCTCTCACCACCAGCAGTGCCACCGCTCCGGCTACGTCTCCTCCGACCGCTGCTGCCCCTACTGCTCCTCCTCCTGCCACTGCTGGTCTTGCTGCTTCCACTGCTGTTCCTCCTGCCACTACCGCACCAGCTGCTCCTTTAAAAGCATTCAGTCCTGTGCCTCATGCCACTGCCACTGTGCCTCCCAGCTCTGTGTCTGTCCCTCGTGCCTCTCCTCCCGCGCTTCACACCTCTGCCTTTGGACCTGGGATGTCCACCGCAAGTCATCATCACAGCCAGCCGTATGCACCTTATTTGCCTCCTGTGAATCCCCTGATGCCGTTTGCCAACCCCCTCGTGCCGTACGGTTCCCCACACCCCTCTGTTGCGCCTGTTGGTGCTGCCACAACTGCTGCTGCTGCAGCTACAGCTGCTGCTGCTGCTGCTGCTTCTAAAGCTGCTCCTGCCACAGTTAGTGCTGCTACATCTGCTGCTACATCTGCTGCTGCACCTGCTGCTGCTGCTGCTTCCCCATCCAAACCTCCAGCTGGTGCTGCCTCTCCCAGCCAATCAGGGCCCGCCACGTCACCTCCCAGTACCCCTGCTCACCCTGCTGTGTTGGGAGTTTCCTATTGGCCCGGTGCTTCCCCAGGGTACCCGCCCACCACTCCCCACCCATCCCAACCTTCAGCGTACCCCAGTTACCCCTACATGTCCCCTTATGGCTACTACCCACCCTACCCTCCTCCCCATATGGTTTCCCCACAATACCCATTCCACCCCCATTATGCACACATGTCGCCTCATGGAGCTCCCATGGCTCCGCCGTCCCATATGCCGCCTCATGGAGCTCCCATGGCTCCGCCGTCCCATATGCCGCCTCATGGAGCTCCCATGGCTCCGCCGTCCCATATGCCATATGATTCCTCCGCTGCTGCTGCGGCTGCAGCAGCAGCAGTGTCTGCGGCGGCTGCTGCTGGTGGCGGTGGTATGCATGTTCCTCCTGGTTCTCCCCCCATGCATCCTAGCGCATACCATCATGCACATCATCAGTTCCCCCCACCCATACATCCAGCCTATGGGTATTATGATCATTGGCATCCGCACTTTCCTCCTCCCATGCCCCATGTCCCTGCACAGCCCCGTGCACATGCACTTCCGCATGCACATGCACCACGGGCAGGGAATCATGCAATGGTTGGGGAGGGCCCTGGGGCAGAAAGGGCAGTACGTGCTTCTAGTCCGGCTGTGGTCGGTATTGGGGGAGGCAGAGGAGTGGAGGGTGCTTCGCATGGGTTTCCACATCCAAGCTAAGATGGTCATTTGGAAGGCTTTCTAAGTTTGTTTGGCTATGGCAACCGCCAATGTTTATCACTGCAATACACCTTTTAGGCCTATGCGGAGCTCGTTAATATCGAGTCCTCTGGTCGCTCTCTGCTTGGTTCCACAAAAGCGAGGAGGATTCGTAACTTGGCGCTTTTACCATGTACAGTACTCTGGCTGGAGGTGTCTGAACCGATGACATGGCATGAACCACGCTGATTCCACGTCACTGATGCACGACGCGGGCTGAGTTCTCGTGCCCGCAAGTCGGCCCGCACCCACGTCATCAGATCACAGCCACACTCGCTGATCCTGTCCTCGTCAGCTGGTCCCAGCACAAAAGTTCCCCGCCAAATTGGAATGCTCAGTCAGAGTTAGTTCTGCTCCTTGGGATCATCATCAGGCAGTCGAATTCTGTTTTGGAATCTGGCTCAACTCTACATTGTCCCAAGCTCACTTCTCTGGAAGTAGAATTTCATTTCTGACTGTCATTTTATCAGTCAGCCATTTCATTCATTCGCCTAGAAATTGGATTCGCCTCCAAATTCAGGGGAAACCAGCCTCTACGTTAGGAGTTAGTGCCTCAGCTCCTTACGGATAACTAGCGTCGATTAGTCTGCGCTATACAGGAAACGACAGCTCGAACTAGTTTTTCAAAGTTACGATTCTGCACTAGTGAGCTGCGTTCTCGGCTGAAATGGCCCAGCAGGTTGTCAGGCACTTAGGCCGTCACATCAGGAGGGCTTGCCAGGCTAACGCCGTGCACCCCGTTAGCAGTCCCTGGACTGCGATTGCTCGGCGCGGTTATGCGGTGAGCGAACTTTCGCCGCCCGACCGTTTCTTTCTTTAGCATCCAAATTCATTGCAGCCGCTCTCAGGAATTATGACCTTTCTAACGACCAACGCGGCTTATCCTTCTCCTTCTCTGTTCTTCAGGCGACCAATGACGAAGCCTATGCCTGGATTGAGAAGTCCAAGGGCCGCTCCGACGTCTCTGTAAGTCCACCTGCCACTTGTCGCCGTCTCCGTCTCTTGTAAGCCTTTTCAATGGAAGGGTGGCTATGTGTCTTATTTTTGCTGGACGTGACGTGGATGCTATTTTTCTGACTGTTTTCTCGTCGCTTGTCGCAGTGGCCTGCTGCCCTTAACACGCCTCTTAAAAACATCGACCCCGAAATCTACGACATCATCGAGCACGAGAAGAACCGTCAATGGAAGGTCCGCCGCCTCGCACGTCCATGCCTTACAGTTCAATTCCTTACAGTTCAATGTCTTCTTAATTGTCCTTCTTCGACCTGCGACGGGCATTCCATCAGTTCATCGAACGAAATCAAGTAGCGTCAGTACTATCAGTCTAAATCTATTTTCTGCTCTGTGCGTGCTTCAGGGCCTGGAGCTGATTCCGTCGGAGAATTTCACGTCGCAGTCGGTGATGGAGGCCGTGGGCTCCGTCATGACCAACAAGTACAGCGAGGGCTATCCCGGCGCTCGCTACTATGGCGGCAACGAGTAAGTTCCTCTTGCCGCTTTTGAATTAGCCTTCCGAAGGTGGACCTATTTGTCATCAGCTCGAGGTGTAATTGCAAGCAGACGTAGTTTCGGTCATCAGGCTGCGGTGTTGTGTTCTTAGCTCGTCTTACGTAACTGGTGTCGCACAGCTTTACCTTACCGCATCCACATTCCTATTCGATTTCCTCTCAGGTTCATCGATATGGCTGAGACGCTCTGCCAGAAGCGCGCGCTGGAGGCATTCCGGCTGGACCCCGCCAAGTGGGGAGGTAAGCTGTTTTACTGAAGAACGTGTTTTAGGTGACGGTGTTGCCAAATTCTAGCATGGCATTTATTTCGCCCCCATGTCAGAGCCCTCCTAATGCCTGCCATCACTTCCCTTCTTTACCCCACTACTCAAATGAACTGATGGTCGCGTTGCTGCGTCAAAGAAGTATCGTTCCTCTGTATCCTCCGTCTGGAAACAGTGAATGTCCAGCCCTTGTCCGGCTCGCCCGCCAACTTCCAAGTGTACACGGCACTGCTGAAGCCGCACAAAGCATTCTCTCCCGTGCATGCCTCCCCGTCTTCCTCTCTCAGTGAATGTGCAGCCCTTGTCCGGCTCGCCCGCCAACTTCCAAGTGTACACGGCGCTGCTGAAGCCGCACGAGCGCATCATGGCGCTGGATCTGCCGCACGGCGGCCACCTGTCGCACGGCTACCAGACGGACACCAAGAAGATCTCCGCCGTCTCCATCTACTTCGAAACCATGCCGTACAGGCTCGACGAGACCACCGGGCTCATTGACTACGACACGGTACTCCCACGCCCTAGTGTTGCATCCGCGCTGTCCTTGACTCCTGAAACCTGCCCTTATTTCCTGTGTTTGTCTCCTGCCCTGTCTTCGATTATCCCTTTTGTGCGTCTCCTCTCCTCTCTTCGCCTCGACTGCGTCTTCTCTCCGTGACGCTGTCGTCACCCTGCTCACCCCACATCTCCTCGCCCTCTTTTCCTGCTCCCGCAGATGGAGAAGACCGCCAAGCTTTTCCGCCCGAAGCTCATTGTGGCGGGCGCCAGTGCGTACTCGCGCAACTACGACTACCAGCGCATGCGCAAGGTGAGATCCGCGGAATTACCAGTTTCTTAGCGCAGGTGAAAGGGATTTGAACCGTCTGTGCTCACCTCTGATCAACCAACCTAATCGTCCTTTCTCCCATGCTTTCCCTTCCGCCAGGTCGCGGACCAGCAGCGCGCCATCCTCCTTGCTGACATGGCACACATCAGTGGCCTCGTGGCAGCAGGAGTGGTGCCGTCGCCGTTTGACTTTGCCGACGTGGTCACAACCACCACTCACAAGTCCCTGCGTGGGCCACGTGGCGCAATGATCTTCTACCGCAAGGGAGTCAAGGAGACGGACAAGAACGGAAAGGAGGTGAGCTAACGAATGAATGTTGCATTTGGAAGAGGTGATATGAGGGTTTTAATCAGGTGCTTTAGTGGAATAGAGGAGTACAGAAAAAGGGAGTTTCAAGCGGTCTTAAGATGCTATGTGGATAGAGGGAGAGGCCAAGTATGGCGATCACGTAAGCTTGTACTGAGCTGATTTGTATTGCTGGAGTTAGTTGGACCGGCCGAACATCACTTGAATGGACGAAAGACGGTGTTCGGGATCCGTTTAGCCTCACTTTCCCCGGTGTCCTCTGACACGTTCACACTCGTTCGTGTCCACCATCCCTTGACAGATCCTGTACGACTTTGAGGACAAGATCAACTTCGCTGTATTCCCAGGCCACCAGGGCGGCCCTCACAACCACACCATCACCGGTCTCGCAGTTGCCCTCAAGCAGGTAAGATGGTTCCACTGTTGAACTTTGGCTTACAGCACTGATTGCACTTCGGGAGACAGTGCTACCAGTGGAATGGGCTTTTAATTAAAGTATCGCTCCAGAAGGTGATCCACCTGATTGAACGGGGTCACTGAAGCAAGATCAGTCATTGTGGTTAAACTCTCAGCAGACCTCATCATCCGCTCTGGTAATTCTCTGCATTGTCACCAACCACCGTCCTCCTTTTCTCCCCCCCGCCCCTCACATGCCAACAGGTAGCCTCGGAGGACTTCAAGCGGTACCAGCAGCAGGTCATGGCCAACTCCGCCCGCTTCGCCAAGGTACCCACACCTGACCTCTCTCCTCTTTCTCCCCACAGTACTCCGTAATATCCTCACACCCTGCCATATTGATGTTTCTAGGGTCAGGGCAATCAAGCATTGCGTGTCATGATCTTGACAATGCTTAGTTGCGGACACCACTAGCTCCATACTGTGTCCACCCCAACCCCCCAACCCTCCCCGACCTTCCCCTCCAACCCCCCTCTGTCTCGCTCCATCACAATATCAAAAAGAACATGCACATAATCCCGCACACCCCCTGCCAAGCACACACATCAGAACTTACGCTGGTTCTGCCTCTGCTTTCCACCCCGCCGTTTTCGTCAACCCCAGGCCCTTCAAGATCGCGGGTACGACCTGGTGTCAGGCGGCACAGACAACCATCTCGTGCTCGTCAACCTTAAGAACAAGGTGAGATCATTCTCCAGGTAAGGCTTTCTTTACTTCAAATGCATTCTACAAGTCACAAAGGTGCGAGGGAGAGCTGGTGTCAGGTGGCACAGACAACCTCCTCGTCAACCTCAAGAACAAGGTGAGAAGGCGAAAAAGAGGGCAAGTTCATCCAGAAGGGCACGGAACTTAGTTACGTGGTATTATCTCGAAATGTTATCTGTTGGCTATATTCTCGTACACCAAATTTGCATGGATAGACGCACACACATTTGCTCCTAGTGGTTTTCACACTACCCCTAGTCTTGATCCGATCTCAATATATCCAGTCTCGGTAAATTCAACTATCCTCCAATCAACCTTTCCCTGCTGCCATATGTGACGTGTCCACCAGGGAGTGGACGGCTCTCGAGTGGAGCGAGTGATGGAGCTGGCTCACATCGCAGCCAACAAGAACACTGTGCCGGGCGATGTCTCCGCCATGGTGCCTGGCGGTGTGAGAATGGGTGAGTGCTGAACGTGAATGAGCAACTTCTCAGGTGCATATTTGAGCTGGCTCACATTGCAGCCAATAGGAACAGAGTGCCGGGCGATGTCTCCTCCGCCATGGTGTCTGGCGCTGTGAGAATGGGGAAGTGTTTTTGCTATGTGCCCGAGGCGTGTTAACGGGTAAGTGCTGCAACTAACAATTCCAACTGTAGCATTTCCTGTTTACACCCCACATGTAGACATGATCAAAACGCGATTGCGATTTAAATCGCATCGCATGCAGGTGCGATGTTTAAAAAAGCGATACGATTTTAAATCGCATCGCGCGATTTATTTTTCAAAAAAAAAATCGCAAATCGCCTTTTACCCGCGATATAATAAAAAATCGCATGCGATATTTAATTAAATCGCGCAATGCGATTTTAAATCACATCGCGTTTTAAAACAGAATTAAAAAACACCCCAAAAAAACAGAAAAGAAATAGGCTGCGGGGAAATTGACTCACGGGCAGTTGTAAGCTAGAGTGCAAATAACCAGTGTGGTTTCGTAGTGGGTTTCAGAGTGGGTTTCAGTGCATTGGGTTTCGTAGTGGGTTTCAGATTTTTTTTAAAAAATCGCATATCGCATTTAAATCGCGTGTTTTAGCGCGATTAAAATGCGATTTAAATTAAATCGCGCGATATTAATTCATCGCATCGCGCGATGATTTTAAAAAAAAAAAAAAAAAAAAAAAAAAAAAAAAACCATCACCATCGCAAAAACGCGAGTAAATGCGATGCGATGCGATGCGATGCGATTCTTTTTTCCCATGTCTACCCACATGCCTCAATATGCCAAATGTCAGTGTCATTCCCCTGTCAGTCTATCTCCCCTTCCAAGGTATCCCTGCCCTCGCCTCACGCGGCTTGACAGCGGAGGGCATTCAGCAGGGGTTGCCGCAGTCTTTTATGTCAAGCGTCTCCTCTCTCTGCCCTTTCCCTGCCCCTCTTTCCCCTTGCAGGAACCCCTGCCCTCACCTCACGAGGCTTCACAGAGGAGGACTTTGAGAAGGTGGCTGAGTTCTTCGATGAGGCAGTCAAGATTGCCGTGGATGCCAAGGCCCTCTCAGGTACCCCCCGCGCCTTGCCCATGCCATTCTGTTCTCTAGCTTTCCATTGACAGGGTCATTCGGCATCCAGTGATCAGATGCGGCATGCTTTGAGCGGATGTGCACTCTGGTGTTGTTGTTAGACATCGTGTGTTTGGTAGAAGCAACTCTTGACTCGGTATATATCTTTACCCTTTGCAGGACCTAAGCTGAAGGATTTCCGTTCCACTGTGGAGACGAATGACAAGATCAAGGAGGCTATTGCGGTGTTGAAGCATAAGGTGGAGGAGTATGCTAAGCAGTTCCCCACGATTGGCTTCGAGAAAGCCACCATGCGCTACACCTCATAGTACTGCCCATTGTTGCTAAGGGGGGTTTTGGTTTCTCCCCCCACCCTTCTGCCTGCCTACATACATCCTGTTCTTATGCAAACATGTTTTTCTTTTTGTTCAAATTTAAAATGTAAAGAATTGTCGCCATTGAACCCCACTTCTGTTGCGTGCGAGCAGCCTATCCCCTCGTTTGGTAATGTTGCATAAAAGCAGCATGCCACCTGGATTGTATAGGGAGACATGATGAGGTGTGGGGGGGTAAGATTAGAATAACCTCCATGTGGGATAATATTTAATAAAGTGTTATCACTACACCAAAGTAGGCTTCCTGTAAGGAACTTCCATTCCTGACTAAGGCGTCGTACGCTAGCGCGTACAGCCGAACTCCTCGCCTCGTCACATTCGGCCTCATTTCATCCAACTTGCCGAAGCTGCTGATTCGCTCACGAAGCCGAGGACGAACTTCTACGACGGAGGTAGCTCTCGAGAACAGTACCAGCACGCCACGATAAAAGGGATGGACACAGTGGATATCTACGCAGTTGCTCCGCGAAATACGGGGCTATGCTACCATTGTGACCTATCGGGTCACATCCGACGCAACTGCCCAGAACTCATAGCCACTCATAACTCTATGGGGAAGAAGCCGGAGGAGCGACCGGGAAATGGGTCGCGTCAGTAAGTACCGGGCCCCTTACTGACGGGCAGGCTTCTTCGCCCGAGCCACACAGCCCCACCGGGTCGTGATCCCGATTGCTGCAATCGACCGGACCCGGACGAATAAGGGGGACGAAACGGCTGATCACCCTGTGTTGGTGGAGGGTAAAGTCAACGGGGTGTTGCCGAAAATATTCGCGGATGGAGGCGCGAGTCACAGACTCATACAGTTGGACAGGGCTAAAAAATTGGGTCTCCCCTTACTCAAGTGTCTACCCGAAATTGACGCCCGACTAGTGGATGGAACACCGCTGACGATAAGGGAACGAGTGGAGAACGTCAGTTTCCACAGCGGGGAGCACGTAAAATTTCGAATGGGGCTGCTGGCGACTACACTCGATGGATGCGACGTGCTGCTGGGACGGGATTGGGTGCGACATTACAACCCGAAGATCGACTGGACGACGGGCGGCTGCAGCATCAAACTTGATGGGATTCACCGCGAATTACCGAAATGGACGGGGCCTCGCATGCGAAGCACCCAAGTCCATGCGATAACTTTCAAGCGCACGATAAAAGCGGGAGCTGCAACGTACGCCGTTGATCTTCGCGAAGTGACGTCGCCGACAACAGCGGAAGATATCGCGAAGCTGTGCGAAGCCGTTGTCAAACATCTGCATTTGTCATGTTTGTATAGACTGTATAGGGTTACCTCTTAGAGGGTACAATACTTAGGTATACTTGTGTGTACTCTCACTTTACAATCTATTCAATTCTCATTTTTGATATGGTATCACGCGTAGGTAGGATCCCCCCCCACCTACCGCTTCCGCTCATGCCCCCTAGCGCCCCTCCTGGGCCCCGTCGCGCTCCTCTCAGGCCCCCTAGCGCCCCTCCCAGGCCCCGTCGCGCTCCTCCCAGGCACCGTAGCGCCCCGTCGCGCCCCTCCTGGGCCCCGTAGCGCCCCTCCTGGGCCTCGTCGCGCCCCTCCTGGGCTTCGTAGCGCCCCTCCTGGGCCCTGTAACGCCCCTCCCAGGCCCCGTCGCGCCCCTCCCAGGCCCCGTCGCGCTCCTCCCAGGCCCCCTAGCGCCCCTCCTGGGCCCCGTCGCGCTCCTCCCAGGCCCCGTAGCGCCCCGTCGCGCCCCTCCTGGGCCCCGTAGCGCCCCTCCTGGGCCTCGTCGCGCCCCTCCTGGGCTTCGTAGCGCCCCTCCTGGGCCCTGTAACGCCCCTTCCAGGCCCCGTCGCGCCCCTCCCAGGCCCCGTCGCGCTCCTCCCAGGCCCCCTAGCGCCCCTCCTGGGCCCCGTCTCGCTCCGCCCAGGCCCTGTAGCGCCCCTCCTGGGCTCTGTCGCGCCCCTCCTGGGCCCCGTCGCACCCTGCCCGACCCCGTCGCAGCCGCCAGTCCCCGTCGCGCCCGCCCGGCGCCGTCCCAGCCGCCCGGCCCTGTCGCGCCCGCCCGGCGCCGTCGCGCCCGCCCGGCCCCGTCGCAGCCGCCTGGCCCCGTCGCGCCCGCCCGGCCCCGTCGCAGCCGCCTGGCCCCGTCGCCCTTGCCCGGCCCCGTCGCAGCCGCCCGGCCCCGTCGCAGCCGCCCGGTCACCGTCCCGCTCGCCCGGCCCCGTCGCACCGGCCCGGCTCTGCCGCACTCGCCCGGCCCCGTCGCCCCAGCCCGGCCCCGTCGCGCCCGCTCGGCCCCGTCGCCCCGTCCCGGCCCTGTCGCACCAGCCCGGCCCCGTCGCGCCCGCCCGGCCCCGTTGGGCCAGCCCCGGCCCCGTCCTCCTCACTGGTACGGTTCCCCCCCCCCACCCCGCCCTGCTCCGTGCCGCCCCGCACCACACTGTACTGCCTGGCACCGCACTACACCGCACTACACTGCACTGCACCGCACTGCACCGCACTGTACCGCACTGCACCGCACTGCACCTCACTGCACCGCACTGTACCGCACTGCACCGCACTGCACCGCACTGCTCCGCACTGCACTGCCCTGCACTGCACTGGACTGTTCCTGATGGCGGCGGAGCTTCGCTTCGACGCTGAAGGCCAGCCCCTAGAGTTCGAGGCGTGGCTTGCTGACCTCCGCCGTCAACTCACTGGCCAGCGGCAGGATGGTGAACCGCTTTCCGCACACCTTGACGGTACGCTCCCCTGCCCAGACTCCCCTGCTATTCTGCCCGCTGACCCCACACCCACTGAGCGTGAGGCTACTGCTGCCACTGCCCGTGCGCGCTCTGTCTGGCTTTCTCGCGATGCTGTTGCCCAGCTTGCCATTAGCAACGCCCTTCCCCCATCCGAGCGTCCTCGCTTTAGGTCCCTCACTACTGCTCAGGCATACTTAGATGCTGTCATCAAGCGCTATTCCACCCCTCCGGCTGCCTCGGTGGGTCGCCTGATCCTTCCGATGCTCTTTCCTGACCTTGCATCTTTCCCCACTGTCTCTGACCTCGCTGCCCACCTGCGCTCGATAGATGAGACCTGGCGCGCTGCCTGCACTGACGCCCAGCTTAGAGCCCACCAGCCGCCCATTACCTCTACCCTCTACCTGCTTGCCACCCGCCTCCCTGACCGCCTTGCTGTCGCCCGCGACCGCTTTCTTAGCGTTCACCCCGCAGACCTCACCCTCACTGACTTTGTAGACACCCTGACTGTGATAGAGACCCGTCACCGCTCCATTGCCCAGGCGAGCGGTGTCGTGCCGGTCCCTATCTTTCAGGGTTGTGCCCCCGCTCAGTGCACCTTCTCCGACGGCTCTGCCGCAGTGGCTGAGATTGCTGCTGCAGCGCAGGTCCGTTCGGGGAAGGGTCGCCGCCCCAAGGCTGGGCGCGGCGGAGGAGGCGGCGGGGGTGCGGGCGGGGGTAGTGGTGGGGTCGGGTCGCCTGGTGCTGGAGTGGACGAGGGGACCCTGCCCAGTTCAGCTGAGTCGCCGCCCCTGCAGGTGCAGCAGCCGCAGCAGCCGCCGCAGTCGCAGCCTTCGCAGCAGCCGTCGCAGACGCGGCAGACGAGTGTCCTCCCGCCAGGGTGGCCCGGCGCTGGCGGTGGCCGGGCGCGTGGTGGTGTGCCGCGTGGTGGCTTTGGCGGCGGGCGTTGCCAGTACCAGATCCAGACCGGTCCTCGCCGCGGCTTCGTTTGCGGTAAGCTCGGTCACTCCACTCCCCGCTGTTTTCGTCGCCTGGACGACATCTTTCGTCAGCGCTTCGGCCCGTCGCCAGACCTCCCGGACTGGCACAGTTTGCTTAGTCGTCAGATTCAGATTTTTGATATGGACATGGATGCCATTGTTTCTGCTCTGCATGTGATGTATGCTGATGACTCTAGTGTGCTTCCCGCTTATTACTCACTGTTGCCTAGTGTATGTGTGCCTAGCTTAGCCTCCCCTGCTGCGTCAGGCGTAGGATCCCCTGCTTTGTGTAGTCTTGGTGCTTCCGCCGTCGTTCCGTCGCCAGACCCCTCGGCTTCGCTTTCCTCGGCTAGCTCTGCCCCGGTCCTGTTCGCTGACAACAGGGCCATGATCCTCCTTTGTCAGGAGCCTCGACTCGAGGGCAGAGCGAAGCACATTCAGCTGCGGTACTTCCTCCTGCGTGAGCTACAGCAGCGACGTCAGGCTCGCGTAGTACACTTGGCCTCAGGTGCCAACACAGCTGATATCTTTACGAAGGCGCTTGCGCCTAAAGATCATCAGCGGCACTGCGTACAGCTTGGTCTAGTTCCTGTCGCTTCTCACTTGCTAGGACCTTGACTTGTACTGTCCTTTATATGTATACTCAGACTGGACTTGTGTCCTCTCCCAGTGGCTGGACTAGTAGTGCCGCCCTGTTCTTGTTCTTGCCTTGTCTGTACTCCTTCTGACTGGTCTCTCAGACCCTTGTCTCAGAGGTTGGACTAGTAGTGCCGCCCTCAGCTGCTTGTTTAGGGTATTCCCCTATGCAGTCTAGGGGGTGTGTCAAACATCTGCATTTGTCATGTTTGTATAGACTGTATAGGGTTACCTCTTAGAGGGTACAATACTTAGGTATACTTGTGTGTACTCTCACTTTACAATCTATTCAATTCTCATTTTTGATAGCCGTTCCTCCGGATTTAGCGGACCTGATTCGAAAATACCCCGAGATTTTCCCGGACGACCTGCGCGCTGGACTTCCGCCGAGCAGACCAGAAGATCATCGAATCGAGTTGGAACCAGGCGCTCACCCGACAGTACAGCGACAATTTCGGCTCAGCCAACCGGAACTGGAAGAATTACAGCAGAAGCTAGATTATCTTCTGACGAAGGGTTTTATCCGGCCCAGCACGTCCCCATATGCCGCCCCGATCCTGTTCACACCAAAGAAGGACGGAGGGGTCCGCATGTGCATCGACTACTGCGCGCTCAACAGGATCACAATCAAGTCGCGTTACCCGATCCTGCGAGCTGACGATCTACTCGACCAACTTCGCGGAGCCAAATTCTTCTCGAAAATCGACTTGCGATGAGGCTAGCATCAAATTCGCGTCGCCGTCGACGATTGTCACAAAACTGCTTTTCGCACTCGCTACGGCAGTTACGAGTACCTGATGATGCCTTTTGGCCCTACGAAGGCGCCCTCGACATTCCAGATAACCATGAACGCCATTTTTCGGGAACTCCTTCATGAATGCGTTATTATCTACCTCGACGACATCCTAATATGCAGTCGCAGCAGGGAGCAGCACTTACAGGGTCTTGATGCAGTCTTCATGCTGCTGCACAAGAATCGCCTCATCACAAAAGGGCCTAAGTGCGACTTTCTTAAGCAGGATATGGAGTTTTTAGGCCACGTCGTCTCGACCGAAGGAGTGAAAATCGACCCCAAGAAAATCAAGACCATACAGGAGTGGAAGCCGCCAACCAACATTAAGGAGCTGCAGAGTTTTTTGGGCTTCGTCAATTACGTCCGCCGATTTATCCCCAATATGGCTGGGTTATCTGCCCCGCTAACTGACCAACTCAAGGATCACGATTATTTTTTGTGGGGAGAGAAGCAGCAAGCTGCATTCGACCAACTGAAAATCGCCCTCACGTCGCCGCCCGTTCTTCGCATCTCTGATCCTGACCGTCCATACGAAGTCATCACCGACGCCAGCGACATCGCCATCGGCGCAGTTCGCCTACAAGATTTCGGCGACGAGTTACAGCCAGTCGCCTACGAATCACGGAAGCTGCAGCGCACGGAAAAAAACTATACAGTACACGACAAGGAAAAGCTGGCGATCGTCCACGCATTCAAGACCTGGCAATTCTATCTGACAGGCGCTGACGTCACGGTGCGGACCGACCACAAATCCTTACAAATTCTGCGCGCCCAACCGAATCTTAACCCACGACAAATCCGATGGCTCGATTTCCTCGAGTCGAATTTCCATTATAACATCACCTACAAACGAGGTGCCAACAATATCGCCGATGCACTAACCCGACCCACTGCCCATACCGCCACCATACAAGTCGCCCAGACCAGCCCACTACTTACCAGACTATTTACCCACGGCTACAAGATCGACACGTTCTTCTGCTCTAGTAATCATCAACAGCACACCACCGCCACCGGACACTATTTTAATAAGCGCGATACTTTACGCATCTTGGTGCCCGGCTACGAGTTACTTCGTACCCTTTTAATACAGGAATCCCATGACAGCCCTACTTCCGGGCATTTCAGAGTCGACAAAACTACGAAGACGTTGCAACGCAACTATTATTGGCCGAACAGGGCTGACGACGTGCGCAAGTACGTGTCCTCCTGCACCGCCTGCCAGATCATGAAATCCTCTCATCAGCTAGCAGCCGGACAACTACAGCCGTTGGATCCGCCCGAGAGACCCTGGCAACACATTACGATGGACTACGTGACAGGACTGCCAGCCGGTCCCAGCGGAAACGACGCCATCCTCGTGGTCGTCGATCGCCTCACAAAAATGGCGCACTTTATCGCTTGCCAACAGACAATTACCACCGAGCAAACGGCCCAACTGTTCATCACCAACGTCATTCGACTGCACGGACTGCCTACCGCAATTATTTCTGACCGAGACCCAAAATTCACATCGAATTTCTGGCGCCACCTGTGGGACCAGTTCGGCACCAAACTACAGTTCTCCTCTGCCTACCACCCACAGACCGACGGGCAGATTGAACGAGTCAACCAAACCATGGAGTAACTCATTCGGACTACCTGTACTGACCCACAGACATGGGAGAAATCCCTTCCGCTGCTGGAATTCGCGTATAATAATGCGCCTTCCGCCACAACCCATCAGTCCCCATTCTTCCTCAACTACGGACAGGACCTCGTGGTACCCTCTATCCCGAACATCGAGACACCCGTGCCCCGGTCCCAGAAATTTGCTGAAGACATTCTCGCCGCCCGAGAAAAAGCAGCCGGGGCAATTAGGAAAGCCAACCTGGTCACAAGCCGACACGACGATCGCCATCGACGTGACGTCACTTACAACGTGGGAGATCTCGTCCTACTCGACACTCGCAATTTGCGGCTGCCGATCCCGAGCAAGCTCCGACCCAGATTCTGTGGACCATTCCACGTGACGAATATGGTGACACCTGTTACTGCTCACCTCCAACTCCCGGCTGATTGGCGTCACCATCCGGCTTTCCACGTCAGCCTCTTACGACCCTATGTCCCCAGTTTGTCGGAATTGGCACGCCACCGCAATATATTGCAGTTGACGCCCCTGCAGGAACCAACGACCGAGCCCTTGAAAATTCTCGGCCATCGAGTCACGACGCAACTGAACCGTCGGATGGTTGATTTTCTCGTACGCTTGCGCGATCGCACGTCAGAAGATGACAGCTGGGTACCACTCGCTGAGTTAGAATCACACCCGATTCTAACAGCGTATTATCATCGTCGGAATGTTTCCGATTCCCGCGGTCTCGTTTAGGAGGGGGGGGGGGGGAGGGGTAGTGTAAGGAATTTCCATTCCTTACTGAGTCGTATGCTAGCGCGTATACCCGAACTCCTCGACTCGTCACGTTCGAGCCTCATTTATCGGCCCAACCTTTTACCGAGTCGCGTCCGGCACTGTCGCCACATTGCGGGACCTACCCACGTTCCGGGGTTATCGCCATAGTAAGCCAACCCCTATATAACCTCGTGCCCTCATTGCAATAGCGACCTTGTATTTTCACGTTATAGTACATTGACAATCCTATATCATAACACTTCCATCCCCACAGACTGCCCGCACCTCTTGTCGAAACGAGGCATCCCAAGACCGTCCCTATCGAAGCGCTGTATTGAAGGTCAGAGCGAGCGAACCCAAGACGCGATTTGCACGTCGGCGAATTTACAAGCCACCTCAGAAGCCGCAACGTCTGGAATACGTGTCTGATGTTCCATGGAACATTCGCCATTCCTTCGCGGGCGCTTTGGAACCTTCTGGTTGGATGCGAAGATAGTTACACGCTGAATTTTCCCTCGCGTAATGAAATGAATGGAAAGAGTTGTAGCGGAATGAATTTGTTGCTGGCCAGCCCCCACTCTGCTTGATTCTCTTTTCCGCCCCCTTCCACCCATCCACCATTTCTGATTTCCCAAACCAAACGCGTTTTTCGGCTTCAGTCACCTGTCCTCCTCCTCACCTTGTGAAGTCGAACTCCCCGTACAATCCGCTCCTCGGTTTCGCTTGCGTGCCGTAGCGGGCTATGCTTTCTTCCTCCAAGCTTTCTTTTGTGCAAAGCATTTCCACAATTCTCCAGTCATCTGTCTTTCGAGCACTGAATAGTTTGACTTCTCCATCGGACCACATCCGTCCGATCGATTAATCGCTCGTTTCGCAACAAGATCGCACGGGCGTGATAACATGGGCTACATGAGGAACGGCGACGCAGGCTTGCCGGAGATTAGTCCTCTAGGAGCCTCGTCAGTCCGAGTCCATGCTACTGCTATTATAAGTAATGGTAATACTACTACTACAAACGCGTACGTAAGCGACATTGACGATTGCGACCGGATTAATGTCCCGGAAGGCGCGATGCGCCGGCTACAGATGATCGCGGGGTTCTGCTACGTCTTCATGCTCGTGCTCCTCGCTATTCGCGTCTCCGTCTTGGCGTCAGAACCACACTGAAACCCGCTCATCAAAACGAGGAAAACCAATGCGAGTGATTTTTTTTTTCTTTTCATTTTTTTTTTTTTCGCAAACCAGCGTCCCTCCGTCGCGGTCGGCCGAGCCTGATTTGCGTTCCTTCCTCTACAAGCACTAGGCATTTCTGATGAGATGAGCCGATTTTTGCGGCGCCTCAGAGCCAGTTTTTACCCTCCCCTCCCCTGCGAAAGCGTAGTTAGAGGCTTCAATGTATGCTGTGTGCTCAATGCATACTCGGTATAAAATTTGCTGATTCGCTAATGGCCTGTTCTTGGTATGGTCTGTCATGTAGACCCCACCCGCTGGAGGAACCTCAATGCACTGTATTGTCTCTCAGTCTCAAGTGCACATTATTCGTGACAGGTGGACCGTAGAGCATAGGATGAAGCTCTGTGTCTGGAAATTTGGAAAACAAAAGCAGCAACCGAAACGGTAATCTATCAGGTGAGTGAGGCAACGATGAAAACAAGCTGGACTTCCTACCTAATGCATCTCACTACATTTCCAAACTCGGATTCCTGGACAACACTCTTCTCAGGGTTCAATGGGGCTGTGCTCCCGATACTGCTCCCAGAGCTGCTGTTACTCTGGCTGCTGCTGTGTGTAGAGCTGCTGCTCGTGCCCCCCATCCCATGATGCATGGCAAGTCCTTGTGGTTTGGCCTGCACACTTAGATTCACAAAAGCTCCATCACTACAACTGCCGTTGCTGCTGCTGCCCTGGCCAGTCCGAGTAACACTGCTGTAGGCCCCAGAGCTTGGGTATTCCCGCACAGCAGCAGCTGCTACAGTACATGTAGCACTGTCAGATTGACCAGTGACTAGGAAGGCAGACAGCTTATAAGGGAGATGGCGAGGCTCGGTGGGCATGGGGGTGAGGGAGCGGAGAATGGCCTCTAGACGAGAGCACACCGACCCCATACCTGGCCGGCGGTAGCCAATCGGGTCCGTGCAAGCAACTGCCACGTTAGCAAACTCAGCCAGCTGAGGAGGCAAAGCAGGTGGCGGATGTGGCATGCGGGGATCGAGAATCTCTGCCAGGTGGCCGTGCGCGATCATGCGACGGGCCCAGTCAGCGAGAGTGGTAACACCGAAGGAATGGTTACTGGAGGCACCCAGAGAAGCATATCCTAGCAGCAGATTGCCTGGAGCTGCCTCTGCCCCTGCAAGTGCTTCTTCTGGGATTCTAGAGATTTGAGAGATTTCATCCTGAGGCAATAGAATTAGCTCTGATGATGCGTCTGTATCTTGAGGCCATGCGATATCTGATGCTGCGGAGCTTGGATTGTGGGGAAATGAGGTAATAGATGGTAACTGGTCTTCTCTTGGAGGCAACCTGGGTGGGTCTGAGTCAAGGCACGGGTTCGCAGGACTCCGGGTATTGCACTCCAAGTTGCCAGGCCCTGAAGCATAATGAGTTGCTTCTTCTTGGCCCGCTGCTGCTGCTTCGGTTGCTGCACCCTCTACTGCTGCTGAAGCTATTGCTGCTGCTGCTGGCCCTGCTTGTCCGGCTGCTGCTGACAGCTCTACACGTGTATAAGGTGGTTGCACCACACCAACAAGGGCAGCAGGGCAACCGTGGATCTGCAGCCTGTGACCCCTGACATTGGCAGGCGACTTTTGTGTCGACTCAAAAGCTGCAGCAGGGGGGGCGTAAATCTGCGGCCTGTGACCAGTGGCAAGGGCAGGCGGTGAGAGGTACACCAAGGGGCGTTGGCCGGTGAGCAGCTCCAGGAGAACGACGCCGAAGCTGGTGTGGGGGGAAGGGGCGACATGGGAGGGGAGGAGAAAATGAGAGGGGCGCTTTGAGGTGTGTAAAAATGAACATGGTGTTGCTGACAACCCACATGGGCAGGCGACGAGAGGTGGATGAAGGGGCGTTGGCCTGTGGGCAGCTGCAGGAGAACGACACCAAAGCTGACGTTGGCGGGAGGGGGGGAAGGTAGGAGATGGGGAAGTGAGGGGGGCGATTTGATTTGAGGTATGTCAAACAAGATGCTGTGGACCATAAACCCGGGGAGAGGGGTAGAGCAAGGGGCGTTGGCCTGCGAGCAGCTCCAGGAAGACAACGCTGAAGCTGACGTGGAGGGGAAGGGGAAGACAGGAGGGAGGTGAAACGAGAGGGGTGATTTGAGGTGCTTCCAAACATGGGTGAAGATACCCAGGCACCCCCCCCCTTGTGGTGAAGTTACCCAGGCACCCCCCCCTTGTGGTGAAGAGAGATAATCAAAACAAAAGAAGGGACAGTGGGAGTATAGGCGTTAGAGCAGGGGTGGCAGGCTTGTGAACATGAGAGCGGGGATCACTGACCTGTGCACATCTGACATGGTGGATGCACGATGCTTGAGGACGAACTCTGGGTCCAGGTACACCATTGCGCCAGAGAGAGACAGGTTTCTACACAAATGTGGGGCCAAGTGACCCCTACACATGAGAGCAGGGCCCACTGACCTGTGCACATCTGACATGGTGGATGCACAGTGCGTGAGGACGAACTCTGGGTCAAAGTGCCGGAGAGAGACAGTTGAGACATGAAAGTAGCTGACCCCTACGCACGAGGGGAGGGACCGCTGACCTGTAGACATCGGACTTGGTGGATGCGCGGTGCGTGAGGACGAACTCTGGATCCAGGTATCCCCGTGTGCCTGAGAGACCGTGAGTGAAGAAGCTGGCCTCCCCGCCTTCCAGCAGGCGAGAGAGGCCGAAGTCTGACAGCTTGGGCTGGGTAAGGGAAAAGGGGGGCAGGGGGGGAGTACACTCAGGCATCATTCCAGTCCAGAGACAATAAGGGAGAGGGAAGAGCGGAGAAGTGGAGAATGTAGAGAAGGGCGAAGTAAAGGGCCAAGGGGGGGGTGGGAAAAGGAAGGAATTGAAGAGAATTGAAAGGTCGAAAACTGCTGTGCTGGCTCTACAGGTCAAAAGAGGCGTGTAGGACGGCGTTCAAGGAGGGGATACTCTGTCTGGAGGGGGGGGGGTTTCGTGGGAGAAAGCAAGAGCAAAGGCTGTCGCGAATTTGACTTGAGAGGGAGAGGCTTGAGGGGACGGTCACTCACGGGCTGCAGGCAGTAGAGAGGTCATTTCAAGAGGTGGAGGAAGTACCTCGAGCTCGTTTTCTGAGAATTGTAGAACAAACACGAGGTGGAAAAAGTACCTGGAGCGCTGCTGTGAGAAGGATGTTAAGTGACTTGATGTCTCGGTGCAACATGCGGTCCCGTGCCTGCAAGGGAATGCTTTGCGGGACACAGGTAGCAACACGATAGCAATTGAGTACGAGCCAGAGCGATGGATGTTCAGCGGCTTCACGCCTGGGTGCAACATGCAGTCCCATGCCGCGAGCAAATGCAGTGTGTGCAGGGAGGTGAGGTAGGTGAGGGAGGTTAGCAGCGTGAGACCAACTGAGTCCGATAAGCAAGGATCCGCATCGCGCCCAGTATGGTGAAGCAGAGGCGAGACAAGTTGCCGTATCGTGAGACACGATTTGAAGGATTCAAAAACTGTGCACAGGGGGCAAGACGGTTACTGTGGGGCCAGTATCATGGGATAACAAGCCTACTTGTGATTGCAATGCTGCACCTGGGGGCAATTTTAGAGGCGCCTCAAAAATAGACTCCTCATGCACCTGGGGGCAAGTCGGCTACTGCGGGAAGCGTTTATCCCAGAAGTCAATAAGCAAGTGTGGGATCCCTTGCCTGTTCGTGAATGTAGTGCAGGGAGCGGGCAACGCCAAGGGCGATGCAGAGGCGCTGGGGAAGGAGAGCGGAGGGCGGGACAGGTCTGCATGGGCAGGGATGGGGAAGGGAAAGAGAGGGAAGGGATATGGTGGCAACGCAAACGCGATATGGTGCATGAATCTCAAGCACGCCACCTTCTAGATTGCCATTGGGGACGAACTCGTACACCAGCTGCTTCTCCCTCCCCACGTTCACCACAATAGCCTATCATGGACAACCATCCATCACACACATGTGACATGTTCCCCTATCCTCCAAGCCACCACTGACTGACCATGCAGAGCCTCGCAGAGGTTGCCGTTGGAGACGAACTCATACACCAGCAGCTGCTCCCCACGCTCGGCGCACCACCCTATGAGGGACACCAGGTTCCGGTGGTTCAAACGCCAGATGATGCGCACCTGGTGGGCAGGAACCACGTGGAACCGCACAGAACCGCATGGAAGAGCATATGAAGCAGAGAATTGCTAAGGGCAAGCAAACACCATTCTTGATAAGCAGGTGTGCACCCTCTGGTCATAGGCACTTTAAGCTGAGAGAGTGCAGAAAAACACACCGCTGGTCCTAAGTGAAAGGCTGATTCTACTTGATTCACTATCACGATTAAATGCCAAAAACAAGCTCAGCTCCTGTTAAAACGCCCCTCCAGGTCGCGTACTCCCTCACTTAGCCCTCTTTGTTGCTCTTAACGCGACAAAAAGAAATGCAAACTCACCTCCTGTTCAAATGCCCCTCCAGGTCCCATGCTTCCTCTCTTGGCCCTCTTCACCGCCCAAAACTCCTCACCATGCCTCTGTCCTCCCCCTTCCACCCTCTTCGCAGAAACAGCTCCCGCATCTCTTCTTTCCCTCCTGCTTGCTGACGTGACACCTGATGACTCAGCAACAGGGACAGGTAACGCCTGGTACACTGTACCAAAGGCCCCCTCTCCTATCTTATTTGCTGGGGAGAATCCGTCAGTCGCCCGGCTTAGCTGCGCAAAGGAGAAGCGGCGAGGAGCATCAGAAGGCGAGGGGGTGGCATGCTGCTGGAAAGCAGACTCAGAGTCAGCAGGCGCAGCCCTCGCTCTGTCCCATCGCCACCAGGGCTGACTGTGCTTATTCCGCAGATAGATCGGCTTCGCCCATCTCACTTCATCCTGACCGTTGGATCCAGAGTCTAGCGGTACATGCCCTCTTGCGTTAGAGCCTCCCTGCCTGTCCTCCTCCTGCTTTCTCCTGTGGCTCTTCTGCCTCTGGTGATGGCGCAGGCATAGGAAGAGGGCGAGGAGTAAGAGGAGAGCCGAGACGATGCTGGCAACGACCACGACGGCTAACACACCCACTGACACTGCAGCACCACCACTACTGACACTGCTGCTGCTGCTGCTGCTGCCCTTGTCACTGGTGCTGCCGGCTTCACTCCTGCTGCTATTGCTGTTGCTGTTCCTGTTGCGAGGGATAGGATTGCTGCCATCTGTTATGTTGTCGCCACCTGTAACATTATTGCTGCCCGTACCATCTTTAGCATCTGTAACATTGCTGCCAGGTCTGAGATTGCTGCTGCTGCTGCTGTTGCTCCCTGTCGCATGGCTGCCGCTATTGCTATTGCTGTTGCTGCTACTGTTGCTGTTGCTGCTACCGTTGCTGTTACTGCTACCACTGCTGTTGCTGCTACTGTTGCTGTTGGTACTGCTGGTATCACTAGTACCAGTGCGGTTGCTACTCCCACTGCTACTGCTGCTGTTGCGTAAGGCCCCCAACCTACTCCTCACATAGTCTCGTGGGAAACAAGGGCCTGAGATACACCCCTGGCCACACATCATTGGAGCTATATCACATGCAGCAGCAGTGCAGCACACAGGGGGCTGGAACCGAGGGCCACTCGTGTTACCATCAACAGGGTTACCAGCAGCACTGTTACCATCAGCACTGTTACCACTAGCAGCGGTGTTACCAGCAGCACTGTTACCACTATCAGCGGTGTTACCAGCGGTCTGGCAGGGGCCGGAGAGGCAGTCAGTAAGGCAAGCAGAGCCCAGGCCACAGCCGTAGAAGGAGGAGCAGCAGAGGTAGGGCGGGCAGGCCTGGGCGGCACAGTGGCGCAGCTGAAGCAGCGAGCGGGAATTGGGAGGGGGGTTTGGGAGGAGACCAGAGAGAAGAGAGTTCCTAACACGTAACATGCTGAGAGAGACAGCCGAAGCAGGGAGCGGGAATGGCAGAGGGGGGCACGGGAGATTAAGGGGGTCGAGCTTTGGGAGGAGACTAGAGCGGCGAGAGTTCCTAGCACGCAGCACGCTAAGAGAGGCAGATGAAGTCCGGGTGGCGTCATCGTGCTCGTCCGTCCTTAGTACAGTGTGGCTCAGTGGGGAGGTAAAGCATTTGAGTCACGCTGATGGGTGTGGCAAGTAACAAGTGTAGCGGTAATATGAAGGCGATCAATGCCTGGTGCTTCCGTATTTTCTCTTTGAAGCCTGCTGAGAGGAGAAACAGAGAATGCAGAGGGGGAAAAGAATGTTAAGCTAATTAAAAAAAAGAGGGTCTAGTGATGCATCTGAGACCAGTTTCGTACATTCAGCGATCTTGCACGGCTGGTAACGGCTCAGGAGGACACGCCGCCGTTGTCTGTTGAGGCAACGGCTGATCCTTCCAGTCCTGGGGACGGTGGTCTGGAAACTGCAACTCCAGTTCGAGCTCGCGTGAGTCGCATGGATCGCACAGCGACGGCGCACTTTCGTCCAGTAGGCCTGACACGTCGCATGGCCACGTTGCCTGACGGGATTTACGAAGAGCGGCGTCAGACGTGACATTTACATCGCGACTTCGCACATTTGTCTTCGCCATGATTGGCTGGTTGGGCTTCAGTAGGCTTAGCTGGCAAGGAATCCAGCCTGGCGGGGTGAAATCCAAGGCGTGAGTGACTCTCAGTCATTCTACTCCGATCTGTTCCGGCAGCGGAGAATCCAATGAGGAACCCGACTAATCCCAAGGGTGACTGCTTGTGAGGGATCCCGACAGACGGACCAGATTCATCGGTTCATGTGGCTGTCAAAAAAAAACCGACGAAAGGATAGGAAACCAAATTCCAGGATGTGAAATTTGACAGAAATTGCATTTCAAGAGACCGGACTGGTGGAACGGCGGCGATGATCTCGAGGTGGTGGCGAAGCAATAAAGGTTGAGGGAGGTGAATTCGCAGAAATCTTGATTTGTTACCAAACAAACTGTCCGACTTCCGTGCTGGTGGAGAAAGCAGGAGCGAATTTGGCGAGGAGAATTTGCATGAAGAGAATTTCGCGATGTTTCCGCACACTAATCGAAATCACTGCAATCCACCAACCAGACAGGTGTGCTTCAGCAGAGAACGTTCCGCTGCAGCTTACAAGCCAGTTTCAATTGCCTTTCCATGCACACCCTCCCTCATACCCTCCTAGACGAACTACGGCACGCATTCCATGAAGCCTTTAGACAGTAGTGCGCACCGCATTAGTTGGCAGGCGGCATTCATAACCAAGCGACGGTATTTTTACTTTCAACAGCTCACGTATTCTCCTCCCAGCATTGACATCGGGTGTTTGTCCTCCAAGTCTCACAGTCCTAGGGCGCACGTCCATGACTGATGTCGCTACAGCCACCGTGTAACAGTCGAAATGCGCTCGAACTTGTTTCGGCCTTGTAGGGACAAAACCACTTTGTCCGTAAGCCATCAAAGGGACTGATTTCGAGGTTTCGCGCCAATTGAGGTTGTTTTAGAGTTAGACTCCGGGAATAAGTACTAAAAACTAAAAGCTCGATTACGCCAATCTATGCGCTGGCTCCGAAAGCGAAGTCCCGCCCTGGGAAGGTTCGGGGAAGGGTCGGACGAGTCCCTTCCTTCGTCATGGACGTGTACATCAAGCTCCTCCGACGGCCGTCGATTCGGTCGCTTCGGTTGGCTGTCAGCCGTGCGATGCACGGGGGAGGATCCAAGGGCAGACAAACCGTCTTCCGTTACATTCTCTTGACTGTACTGGCTGTGATACTACTGAGGTGGTTCTTTGGGGGCTTCCCCTGTTCCTATATAATCACGTCTACTATAAATCAGTCTCGATCAGACACATAAACCAGACTTTTATGCCTGACACGTGTCAGAGCCTCATGAAGTTGCCATATCGGCCAGCCAATCCGGAATGGGGTAGGTGCCTCTTGCTAAGGTGCCTCCTGCTAAGTTGCATCGTGCTAAGTTACGTCTTGCTAAGCTGCATCTTGCTAAGCTGCATCCCTTTCCATGGCACCAGTTTCACTCATGGCGCTTGTGTGCTTGCATCACCCCCCGCTTGTGTACATTTTGGTGCTGGCTTAGCCACACATAGCCAACATCTTTTCTTTCCGACCCGTCCTCGTCCACCATGCCACCGTGCCACCATGTCACCCTTCCTCGCCCTTTCCCTTCAACGCCAGGTAGGTTCACCCCCCATGGCGTCAACACCTTCGTATTCATCTCAGCGCATCGCATCAGCCCGCTCGACTTCGCAGTAATCGGCCTCTCAGCCCGCAGCATGCGCTCCCAGTGGCGCTCGGTGCGATCCAACGGTGGAGATTCGTCCGCGGCGGGCGAAGATCTGAGCGGCGGGTGCATGTGGGTGTCGTACGATGGGCCGCACACCATTAAAGGCAGCTTGGATTATCTCTTCCCGGGCGACCATGGCAACATGCCGTACGAGACAATTGTCATCAGATGCAACCTGGATAAGCCTACCCCAGCCGACCCTGGTGAGTAACTTCGGTGGTAAGGCAGAGTGAGCACACCATCAAGGGAACCTTGGAGTATCTGTTCCCGGGCGACCATGGCAACATGCCCTATGAAACGATTGTCATCCTCTACAACCTGGATAAGCCTACCCCAGCTGACCCTGGTGAGTAACATGTCGTGTCAGGAGATGACTTGCTGGATTGCCCGTGCGTCCTCCTCTCCTCTCCCTCTCCCATGCCTCCCCTCTCCCATGCCTCCCCTCTCCCATGCCTCCCCTCTCCCATGCCTCCCCTCTCCCATGCCTCCCCTCTCCCCATGCCTCCCCTCTCCCGCCTCTCCCTCTTCTACAAGGCGGTTCTCTCTTGTACCACACTACCAGACATGCAAGTGCACCAAGAGGGAACTAGCATTCCTACAGTAGTTGGTAGTGTGGTGGGCTGGCTCATTTCTCTCCTCTCCTCCCTGCCCCGCCCTCTTCTGCAGGCGGCGCCCTCTTCTACCACCTCTCAGGGCGGGACATGCTGGTGCGTCGAGAGGAAACAAGCATTCCTGCAGTAGTTAGTTGGTAGTGTGGTGCGCTGGCTCATTTCTCTCCCCACCCCTCCCTCTCTTACAGGCGGCGCCCTTTTCTACCACATCTCAGGGCGGACATGCTGGTGCATCGAGAGGACGACCTGAGACCGCCAGCCTCCACTGCCGCCGCTGCTGCTACAGCGACTGGGGGAGTGGTCAGAGGGAGGGGGAGGGGGGGGAGGAGAGGGCTCCTGCTGCGAAGCGGATTCTCAACCCGCCACGGCCACTGCCCCACCAGATCTCCTTCTGCTCGCTGCTCATTGACCAGGAGGTGCGTGCCGTGCTGCTGCTGGGGATGCCTGCGTTGCATGCCGAGTGCTAACCGTACTGTACTGACACTTGAGTAACCATTACTGCCTCACCAGATCTCATGCTGCTCGCTGCTCATTGATAAGGAGGTGCGTGCCGTGCTGCTGCTGGGGCTGCCTGCATTGAATGCCAGTACCCTTGTACTTGACTCATCATTGCTGCTGCACCAACTCCCGTTCTGCTCCCTGCTCATTCACCAGGAGGTGATTGCTGCTAGAGGTACGTGCATTGTCTTCCCCAGCAAGTGTCCTAGAGAGCACATGCATTATCTGCTATTCTTTGGTGCACATGAGCTGACTTCATTGTCTATGCTCAACCATGTGTGTTCTCTCCATCGCCTTCCACCCTCCCCCCCCTTGCAGTTCACCCCAGCGCGTGTCCTGGAGAGCACATGCAGTATCTGCTATTCTTTGGTGCAGGCGTTTTCGTTTTGATCTCAAATACCTGTGTTCCATTCCCCTTCCCTCCACTCTCACATCTCACCCCAGCGCGTGTACTGGTGACTTTTGAGTCGACTCAAATGTCCTGGAGCACATGCAGTAGCTGATACTCTTTGGTGCAGGCGATCCATTTTCTACACTCAAACATGTGTTTACCCTTAATCCCCATCATGCCGACTCCCCTCCACTCTCTCAGTTCACTCCAGCGCGTGTCCTGGAGCACATGCAGTACCTGCTATTCTTTGGCGCGGACGATTTCATTTTCTACGATGGGGGCGGGTTCTCGGATGGCTTGAGGGACGCTGTCTCGAGGTTCACAGACGCGGGCATGCTGCAAGTGATGGACCTCAGGGACTAGCTGAGTAAGTCCGGGATGCTGTTGACTCTGGTCTAGGGAATCGTCTGCGCCATGCCATGCTGAGTTGAGGTGCAAAGACGCCGGCGTGCTGCAAGTGATGGATCCCTGGGAGCTACCTGAATAAGACCAGGTTGACTCTGGCTGACTTTGCTTGACCAGCCAGGTCTGGTCAGCAAGGAAAGCCCCGCTAAACCCCCCCCCCCCCCCCTGCACCCAACAGCCCCCTCCCTCTTTCCCTCCTCCCAATTCATTCTCCCTTCCTTCCCAGCCTGCCAGCCCACCACAACGTGATCACGATGAACGACTGCGCTATCGCACGCGCTTCACCTCGGAGTGGGTCATCTCGCTCGCCTTTGACGAGCTCCCACACGTCGTGGGTCCCTTCCGCCTCTCCACTCTGCTCGCCTTCCACGCCGGCCGCCCCTGGCTCTCCATGGGGTCCTACTCGTGGCACATCGAGCTGTGCCTCCCAATAACAGGTATGTTGTGGCCTGTTCGAAGGCACACTCTGGTAGTCATCTCATAAGCTGCTGCCCGTCGTGGGTCCCTTCCGCCTCTCCACTCCGCTCGCCTTCCACGCTGGCCGCCCCTGGCTGTCAATGGGCCGGCCCATCACAGGTACGCTGACTTCACCCGTAAGTAGCATGTGAGCCTGAGTCATCCTGTTGGTGTATTGGGCTGTGCCCCCCCTTATCACCGTATAAGCCTGAGATGCCCCTCGTCGTAGCACCCCTGGCCCTCCCTGCAGTCTTACCCACCTCTGTTCCTCCCATCTCTTCCCCGCCCTTCCTGCAGTGCCCGACCACTGAATTCAGCAGAGCATGGTGCTCCGACTGGTCTTCCCCACATGCCATGCCATCAGCCTTTCGCACGCCTCATCAGTACCCCCTCTGCTGATCAGTACCATAACATGCCATGCATGTTCCTCTGTTTCTCTCTCCACCTCCCGTGCCCCATGCGTGAGGAGTCTATTTTTGAGGCGCCTCAAAAATAGACTCATCAGTAGGCTATGTTCCTCTGTTTCTCTCTCCACCTCCCGTGCCCCCCACCCCAACCAGTACCCGCAGCTCCCAACCACAGGCTCCAGCAGCACATGGTGTTTCGATCGGTCTTCCCCACATGCCTTGCCAACAGCGCTACCACCATCACTCCCCCCCCCTCACCACTACCCCTCCTCTTTCTCTTCCCCTGTGCCCCTGCTACTGCAGCGCCCGACCACTGACTACAGCAGTGCACGGTGTTTCGATCGGTTCACCCAACTGCTCCACCGTCACTGCCTTCACTCTCTCCCTTTGCGTCCCTCTCCTTCCCTTTTACTCACTGCAGCGCCTAACCACTGGCTACAGCAGCGTATGGTCTTTAGGTCGGTTCACCCCACATGCCATGCCAGCAGCGGCACCAGCACCACCACAACCCCCACATTCATCACCGCTCCTCCTGCTGCTGCTGCTCTGGTTCCTCCTGCCTCTAACGCCACCAGCAACACCACGTCCCGCAAGCTAGCAGACGCAGCAGCAGCAGGAGGAGCAGCAGCAAATGCGAGTGGGGCTGCGACAGAGGGCCCATCGGAGCCTATGTTCACAGGAGACCCGAACATGTGCCTTGGGGAAGCAGGAAGGCGGAGAGTGATGTTTGACCCAAGACAGGTGAGCAG